ATCGATCAGAACATTCTCAGAATCTTATCAAAGCAATCTGTCCGTTTGCTTGTTTTCTATGTCCTTTCATATAAATAACGATATGATATTTTGTAACAACGAGTTTCATATCTGAGACTGAAACGACCGTCTTTATCTCTCTCAGAGGATATTCAACATAGCTGAAGTGAGTGGACAACAATACGTTTTCACGTATATCACAAACTTCACCACTTTTATTGTTTGAAATATTTCAGCACAAAGTAAATCTGAAAATTTATCTCTTCCTTTTCAGACACGTGAAATACGTTTCTTGGTGAGTTTGCACTCGGAGAGACAATTTAGTGCAAAAGCTATTTCATTAGTGACCGTAAGAATAACAGACGTAAATGATAACAAACCACATTTTGAAAGTACCTATAAACGTGTGATTATTCCGGAAGACTTATCAGTTGGCAGCAGTATTGCGGTTATTAGAGCAATAGATGAAGATGCCGTGGGTTTGAATTCGAAACTTCAATACATCTTGGAAGAGGTACTAAAATTGAATGATTTCAATTTATTATATAATATATTATCAAATCATCTTTTTTATAAATGAAAATTTTTGGAATTTATCATATTTTTATTCCAATTTATCATTCACGTTTGTATTTTATCTAATTTTAGGGTGACAACAATAATACTTTTAAATTGGATCACGAGACAGGTTGGCTTACTCTATCGAAAGAGGTTGACAGAGAGATGGTGGAAGAATATACGCTAATAATTCGTGCTGAAGATGGAAGTGGACAAAATACACGGAAGAAGATAACTATTATCGTTAAAGATGTTAACGATTCACCTCCGCAATTCTCACAGCAAATTTATTCTGTTCAATATTTTATGGAAGATTTAAAAATTGGACAGAAAATTTTGCAATTACAAGTTCATGTAAGTAATTAGTCATACTTGCCCCTCTATCTATTAGTGTCATACTTGATATTTGATATATTGATATAGCTTTAATTAATTAGCCGACTGTGCTAAGTAATAGATTGATAATTTTGTTGAGATTTATCGCCTCACTTTTTACGATGACTTCAAAAATATCTTCAATAATTTTGCTTTGAGTTAAATAACAATAATTGATTGATCTTTGTTGTATAATTAACAAACAAACAGGATCCTGATTTGTATCCGAACAATATCACCAAGTTATATATTATAAATGGCGATGAGCATGGGATGTTTGGATTGGAAGTAAACAATGTTGTGCTTAATAAACTTCCAACAGATTTTCATTCTGTTGAATCGCATCTTCTGGTAGTTGCACATGATGGAAAACATACAGCAACAACTGAAATTACGGTATACTATTATGGATATTACTTTAAAAAAAAATACGTTTTTCTATCAATTAAACACAAACTTCCTGTTTATATAATCATATTCGATTGCTTACTTTAACAATTTATGATTTGCAATTCATCCAAGTGCTACAACATTTGAAATATTTAGTCTTCCAAATTAGCTAGAATTTGCAAAAAAAAGTTGTGATACTTACATTAAGCAATAAATTTCAGAATAAGACTTTCATAAAACGTTTGAAAATTGTTGAATTATTGTTATTAACATTTCAAATTTACCGTTACAGGTGAAACTACTGCCAAAATTTTCACAATTCCAATGCGAACCGAAAAAAATTCTTAAAAATATAAGTGAAGATTCGCCGCATGGCACCGTTATCAAAATGGGATATCAGAGATTGCAAAAATCCTTACAATTCTATCTGACCGGATTAGAATCTGATTTATTTAATGTTGAGAACAATGGAACGGTTATTGTTCGTAAAGAACTTAGCTCACATATCTCAAATCAGGTTTATTTCCTTAATTCTTCTTTCCTTTTTTTTTTTCTAACTTTATAAATCACTTTTTAATATCATACAATTGTCCCAATTCACATTATGTTTGTGATAGACATTTTTGAAATATGCTAATTTAAAATCCGAACAAGCAAATTTACAGATGGAATTGTTTCTTCGAGCGGAAACTCCCAATAGTTTATGCATTCAGCGCATAATCGTCAACATTGAAAGAACGAGTAAAGGGAGAGTTACATTTGCGCAACCTGTTTTTTACGGTACGATTCGGGAGAATAGCAATGCTACTAAAGAGAAAAAATTATTCGCAACGAGGTTTGTACTGCAAGATCAAAAAAATTTTCATTTTACAAATTCAATATTTACTTCATGATCAAACAATTTTTACAAACATTGCAATTTAATTATAGATTGGATTCATTTAAGAAGAAAAATTTAATTAGTGCAGTAGCATATTCCTATTTTGCTCTGTTTTTTTAACTGTTCTCATCATTACAAATATAAACAAAGAGAAGATTTAAATAAGATTTAATTGCTACTGTTTTATAAACAATTAATGTAACTTTTTACAAATCTCATGAGATGATTGATTTGCAAGATTTGATTGGATGTTGGTTAACTAGCAAAACCTACTAGCAAAATTGAAACTAAAAATTCGGAAATGTCAACTGAAACTTGAATATTCTCTATTATCTTTATTATTCAAACAACATATTTTATTCTACTTCACATCTCGAAAGTTTTCGAAATCACAAGAATGATTATTGATATGGGAGCTGTGAATAATAATGCATCTGTATTTGAGCAGAATATCTATCATTACGAGTCAGCTTTTTATAAACATCATTAGAACGGTATTAGATAATATATCAGAAATCGTATCCAAAACAAAATAGGTACTTTTGGATGAAATTTTCAGACCTTCAAAATTTAAAGATTTATTTTCCAGAGTGATAGCAACTGTTGGTGATTTGGATGGTATTGGCTATGTTACATTTAAATTTGCAAGTAATAGTAATCAGTACATGGATTTATTCGATATTGATAATGAAACCGGTGTTGTAACAGCGATTTCGCCTCTCGATCGTGAAGTTAAGGATCAGTACAACTTCTCGGTCCTTGCTATCATCGCAGCAGGGCATAGTGCTGAAGGTTTTTTTACCAGAAATTTAATAATTTGATTGTTAAATCAAGGCTCATCTTATTCTTGCTTCTTAATACCTTGTACTTATGAAATCAAAATGTATTTAACTAAAAAGGAAGAAAGACGGATAGTTTAACTTTTTTGAAATTAAACGCAATGTTTGCTTGCTTTCTGCGCACTCATTACATTCTAATAATAATTATTCGAAATTAACTTAATTTAAGTTAAAATCTAAATTTTAAAAAACAAATGGAAATTAAACTAAAATTAATTTTGATTTAACTTCCATTCTTCTAGTAAATATATTCGTATACGTTAAAAGAGTTAGTTAATTGCAGCAAAAGTGATTATTGATGTGGGAGATGTGAATGATAATTCACCTATATTTGAGCAGAATACCTATCATTTACGAATTGCGGAAGATGAAACACCTGGAAAAGAGCTTCTTCAATTGAAAGCATACGATAGTGATGACAAGGAAGTTATCACTTATCAGCTGCAAGCTTCTGATGATGTAGCTAAATATCTAAGCATTGATGCTAACAGCGGTAATTAATTTTTCCATTTCTTTTAATTTTTTAATTTTAATTTGATACTTCAGATTTTTAATCTTCAAATTTTTAACATTTTCTTATCTACATTTCTCTGAATGAAAGATTTGTTTAGGTTTGTTGAAACTAGCTTCTACATTGGATTTTGAGAAATTAGAGAAATTCTCAATAACTGTTATCGCAACAGATTCCGGAAAGCCTCCATTAAGTTCAACATGTGAAATAGATATCGAAATTTTGGATGTAAACGATAATCCACCACTTTTTATGCAATCAATTTATAAAGCTACAGTGCTAGAGAATGTGCAACGTGGTACGAACGTTGTACAGGTAAAATCATTAAATCAATTAATTCAAGCTTTTCAGTTTTCCGCTTGTAAAATGCTATTTTTTCATTAGGATTAAAATATTGGATGACTAGTGGAAGAAAAAAAGTAAAAAATAGAATGATGCATTGCTGTACTGTAAATCACAACTTCTTTTATTACTAATTCAGGTATTGGCAAATGATCCGGACAGTGAACATTTCGGCCGAGTATCTTATCTGATCATAAATGATACGGCTCCGTTTACTGTCGGAGAAGATGGATGGATTACAACGACAGAAATACTTGATCGTGAAATGGTACTCATTTTCTAATTAATTGATATCTTTAGCACATTTAGTAGAATCAGTTATGGATTATGACAGTTTACTAAATTTCACTAAACTATTGAGGAAAATTGAGTCAGTCGTTTTTCTATTTTTAACTATTATAGTTCTTTTATAATAAGTTTTGAAAGAGATATGTGTTCTTTTATAATAAGTAGTTGTTTAAAAAAAACATGGCGAGGGCAAAAAATAGGCATGTGGAGCTTTAGTAAAACTCGATGAAGCTTTAAACTTTATAGTCAAATTCTTTTAAACTAAGTAATACTTATAAAGTGATATAAGACCTATATAAAATAATAGTTATAAAATCTCTCTGTTCCTGATTCTCTATTTTTATCATCTCGGAGAGGATTTTATTTTATTTGTCGAATAGAACAATATGTTTCTTCTCTCTCTGTGTGTCTCCCTTCCTGTCTTTTTGTTTTTTCTGACATCAGTAAATTTTCTACATCAGGAAATTACAAAAAGTGAGATATGCATCTTTTCCGGATCTGAGGTCATTACATGATTATAATTTCTTCACAGAAAATTATCGGTGCAATCCAACATACCGCCTCAGTATTTTTCCAGAAGAGTGCTTACTGTTTGACAGTAAAAGCAGTAGACGGTGGTACTCCATCTTTGTCTGATTCCACAACTGTTGAGATTGAAGTGGAAGACGAGAATGATAATGCTCCTGTTTTAAAACATTGCAATATGACCGCTGTTGTACAGGTACAAATTCATTCTCTTAATAAAATAGCAAAATATCAGTGTCACGTTATCACTGCTTATCACTTTTTCACTTTTAAATGAATCTAAGAAAAACAAATTTAATTGTTCAGAATTATAAATTCAGAAATTTTCCAAATGTATTATTCTTATTTCATTTATTGCTCAATCATATAATACGATGATTGAGTTATATGAAACAATTTCAATATTCAGTGTTTCAATCTTTCTACTCTCATTTCTAATCTACCATTTGTGCTCGAGAAAAAGCGCTTATAATCAATGCTTAGCTACTTTTGTAGGAAAGTGTTGAACCTGGGCATGTTATACTGCCAATTACTATTACTGATAATGATAAAGAACCAAATACCGGTCCGTATAAATTGGAAATTACTGGAGATGGTGCTTCATTATTTGCATTTGATAGCAGAATGAATTTGATCACCATAAAACGATTACCACCACATGCTATAAAAGAAGTTTATCTTTTGTCGGTATGTTTTTAAATTTCATGAAATAGATTTTTTGAGATTAAAAAGTGACAATTTTAAGTGTAAAATTGAGGATGATAATTAAGCTTATCGAATTTTAAAAAATTTTCTTTCACTGTGTTCTTTCATTTTACAGGTGAAAGTTTCTGATAGAGGTAATCTATCAACGGAATGTCCAATGACATTATTTGTCAAAGAGGAAAGCCGACATGCACCACAGAGCAATCCATTGAAAATTACTTTGAATACATTAATGGGTGAATTTTTGGGTGGAATTGTGGGTAGAGTGATGGCAACAGATGAAGTTAGTATTTCAGTTATCAGTTACTTATCATTCATTACATTATGACGTACAGTAATCTTTTATCAGTTTGTTTCACCTATACCAACTGCTAAAGCAAACTACGTCATTTTGTATTGCAGGACACGACGGATATGTTACGTTACTCATTAGCTGATAGCGAAATGAATGCTAATAGTATTTGGTCGAATCATCAACACCTAAAAATTCCATTCAATATCGATTCAGAAACAGGTGATATCATTGGTGAAGCTGATCTTCTCTCTGGAACATACCGTTTCAATGTTTCCATAACCGATGGTAAATATATCACAATGGTACCAGTTGTGATTGATGTAAGTATCATAATTCTTATCACTGTAGGTTAATAATTGATACAGTGAAGGATTAGAATATTTTTGATCTCTGCGATAATAATAATACGTACTGTTTTACGTACTTATATTGACTACTCGATTCTAAATATTTTATTCAGTGAACACAAATCATAAACTTTTTTTATTCAAAATTTATTAGTGGCAATGTTTGTTTTCTGACACTGAAGAAGGCATAAAAAAGACAGATTAAAATTGTAATTTCAAAAATGATGCTTTGTTTTAGGTAACCTCAATTGATCAGGACGCATTGGATCATTCCGTAAGCATACGAATTCATAATCTTTTGGGGGAAACATTCTTCAAGAAACACGCCAAGAATTTCGTACATTCATTGTCCAGATTTCTAAATGTCAAACCTCAAAATGTTCAAATTCTTTCTGTACAGTCTACTTCAAGTAAGTTAATAGTTTTTATTTTATTTAATAAATTTTGTTGCTAAATTTTGATCCTTCTTTATTATTTTTACTTCTTATGTTGAACATTTTTAGAATACTTTGCATGCTATTTTGTTAAGGCATCACTTTTGCTGTAATTTAAGAGCTGAACTATTTTTGAATAAAATGAGTAGCTATAAGTAAAAGTAATTTAGCTCATCATCATCTTCATGTTCGTCACTTGAGCAACCGAACGATATCACAGCAAAATTTGGATATCCTTTTCACCGTATCACGCGCTGATTCTCGAGGATATCATCGACCAAATTTCATTCGACAAAGACTTGAAGAAAATGTTGCTCAATTAAGCGATGATATTGGCAGAGAGGTTTTTTCTTCCTCATTTTTTCTTTCCAGAGTAACATTTATGATCATAAATTGTGAAACAAATTTTGCTAAAAATCTTGAACTTATGAATGTTGAAAGAAAGATTACTAAGTAAAAATAAAGTTTTTCATTTATTTCAAGAGATTTGTAAAAAAATTTTTATTACCTATAATGAGAAATTTGAAATGTTAATTAGTTTTTTTGGTATTCCATTTCATTTTTCTTTCGACAGATTATATCAATAATAACGGAAGTCTGTCGAAGGGATGTATGCGCTAATGGTGAATGTCGGGATCGTTTATATTTGGATGATGCACATAGAGTTTGCTATAAGACTGATCATCAATCATTCAGCGCACCCATCCATCTCAGGACCTATGATTGCACATGCCGGACTGGTTATGCTGGAAAGCGTTGTGATATACCGGTTGATAAGTGCAGTCGGGATCAATGCACCAAGGAAGAGGTTGTTTATTGTTTATCGTAGAGGAAGTTGATTCATTTACTGTTTCTGTTTTTAAATAAGGTTTAATTCACAGCGTTCCGTAGTGATTTGAAGTAGAATTTTAAATCCTATGTAAATTTCAGTTATTTATGTTAAACATACCATGCACTTTCAGCTATTCTTTTAAGATATAATTGTTTTTTGAAAAAAGTTTCAATCAAAATTAGCATTCAAAAAAATGTGAGATAGATTAATGCCTGTTAATTATGGAGTTTAATTAAATATTTACGTATTTAATGATGTTTGATTAATACTAAAATAATAAAAGAATGTTTTTTAAATTGCTAAACAGTGTTTTTTGTCGATTTTTATTGAAACGTTGAAATTCAGGTGCTATGAAAAGTTTCAGATATGCGTTCCAATGAATACAAACATTGGATTTGATTGCACTTGTCCGCCGGGCACTACTGGCGATCGTTGTGATACGACCATTTGCGGTAAAGACAAGCGGGAATGCAGTCAGGGTTGGTTGAAGTGAACTTTTATTTTATAAACTTAGCAAAAAAATTAAGGGAATATAAGAGGTATCCAAAAATTAAATGCTAAATTATTTGCATTTTTAAACTTAGAAAATGCAAATACTTATAGATTCAGATGAAAGAGTTCATGGGCATTTTTTTGCAGAAAATAGAATATTGACCGAATGAAACTTTGCAGGAAAAAAATAACTCGAATTTTGTAAAAATTATGATCCGGCTAAATTTATTTAATCTATCTAATTTTCCTGAACTTTGTCCTTCTACTTTCCTCTGATTTCTTAAAAATTTTTCGGTCATATTACAGATGCAGAAATTGGAATTGATGGCAATGGATTTTTCCACATGACCGTTGCAAATTCGATAGAACGACGACTGGAATTAACGATTAATTTTAGAACTACGAGCGCAGATGCGGTTATTATGCATGGAGCTGGCAATTCAGATTTTCACACAATTGAGGAAATAATAAGAAGAGATATTTCACATTCATACATATTCTTTACAAATAACATTTTTATGAAATGAGTGTTAAATGCAAAAAAAACCTGTAATTAATTATAAAAACCTTAATTATCGCAATTTTTTTTTTCAAATTTTAGATTGAGAAACGATATGTACAGTATCGATGGAATTGTGGTACTGGACCGGGACTGGTTCGCATTAGCCAGCAAACGGTCAGTGATGGTAAATGGCATTCTTTGAAGGTATCGAGGAGAAGTAGGCATGTGAAACTTGTGCTCGACGGAATATACGAAAAGGAAGGTGACAGTCCACAGGGTAGCGATGTTGTGAACCTTTACCGTCAGGCTATAAGGTAATTTTCATATAATTAACAAATTAATAACCTTTTTATTTATTGACTTGCTAATTTTTTAATTGCTTCTTATTTGTGTATTTTTTCATTCAAGAAAATCTTATCCCTTAAAAATCTACAAAATTAATGATTTTGTGATTTTAGACTTACTTTTGGTGCTTTGGTCTCACAATCGGTTGACGATAGCGCTTTTACATCAGCAAGCACTCTGAGGCCAGTAGTGACGAGAGGAATGGTTGGCTGTTTTGGGTCTGTTTCTTGTGTCATTTTAAAACGCAACAAATTAATTCACATTTTCAAATAAATCCTCCGTAATGGAATAACTTTCATAATTACAATTTGCATTTTTCATGCGCAGTTTTTCATAATTTAACTTGAGCCATACAGTGACGAAATTAAGTTTGATTTTTATAGCATAAAGAGATGGAATTGATTTGAATATATGATTGATACTTTTGTCATTTCTGACTTTTAAGAGAATTTTTCCACCTTCCCAAAAAGTTCGGTTACTTTTCATTCTTATCTCATGGCCAGTTCAGTTTACTTCAGCTCTTCCTCACATATAAATCGAATGACAAAATAGGAAGTATTTTCAGGCGTATTTCTGTTGATGGTTATGAAATACCGAAGACAAAGCAAAGCCTTTATCTCTACAATACTCGCCTAAACTGTAATGCTATCGTTAGTGCCCCATGTGCTTCAGGTCCTTGTGAAAATGAGGGTACTTGTGTTCCATCCGGTGATAAAACCTACAAGTAAGTTACTTTAAAGCATTTCAAATAGTAGTAAGAATTATCATTACATTATAACTATAATTATTAATTTATGAAAATTTCTGATAATTATGTATTGCTTCACCGGAATCTCTGATTTATAAATATTTACGAAAATATATCATCAACCAAAGCGTTTTTCAAAATTAATTATAAATTATCATGATAAATATCTTTAATATCTATTAATATATGTGTTTTTCGATATACTCTCCAATATTTATCTTTGGTTAAGAATTAGAATTAGAAGGTTGCTGTTTAGAATGTTGTATTCGATCATTTATGTGTGCAAATTCTAGCTGTGCTTGTCTTCCGCGATATTCTGGTAGCAATTGTGAAATCGATCTAACACCGTGTGTTTCACGTCCGTGTCCTCGTGGTGTAGAGTGTATCGATTTACATAATGACTTCTACTGCAACTGTCCGCATGGTTTCACAGGGAAAACTTGTCAATTGAGAGGTGACACGCTTTTTATGGCTCGAATTTTTTTTTTAAAGTGATTTTTGACAATGCAATAGTTATTTTCTCTATAGTTTGAAATATAAAGAAAAGATGGAATTTAATTCATCCAACTGCTTGTTCATATTTTACGCATTCATTTAAAGACAACCGTGCGGAAATGGTGCATTGTTTATTGCATTCATTTCAGGAGATTGGGATCCGTGTTTGTCAAATCCTTGCGGTCATTTTGGCAATTGCATTCGTTTACCTCATTCAGTCGGTTTCATATGTAATTGCTCCCATGGATATTCCGGAACAGCTTGCAGAGGTATACAGTACGCAGTGTCACATATCAGTTTTTGTTTTCTGGAATGCTTCTTGAATTCATCTTCTATTGGTTACCAATGTTTTTTACATCAGTAACTAATAGAAAATGAATTAAAATGTCGAAGTGGATGTTAGGATAAGAATCGAAATGGATGTCAAATTAATAATGGTCAGCAAAACGTAATCGATTATCATTAAAACGATTTAAAGTTGATGCCAACACATAAACAATAAGCTAATCTTGAAGAAATGAATAAATTGTGGATCTCGCAAAATGGAAGTTAAATGGAATGAAAAAAATATTACAGATCGGTCACCGGATTTGATAGGATATGGTCGACCACTGAATGCGATCAAAATTATTGGATTGATTATCGTTATATTACTTCTTATAATCGTTGCCGCTCTTATTGTTTGCATTTATTTACGCATTAAAAAGTTTGACATTTTTGATCTTTGATAGGTCAAAATAATAATAACAGTGATGATAATAGTAATCAGCAATATTAATAAATGGTGATAATAATTAAGAATAATAATGATAGGAATAATGATTGATGATAATAATTACTGACAATAATAACAATAATAATAATAGTAATATCAGCAATAACAATAATAATAAATAATGAGATTGAGTTTTGTAATTTCCATGCAAACAATAGTCTTTTTTAATGCTCGAGTTAGAGTTCAGATTCAGTAATTTTAACATCTATACAATCACAGATTTGATTAATCAGAGCGAACTTTAAAATTATAGAAGTCGAAAACCATCGAAAGTAAGAGAAATGGAATACGAAACGAATAACTATAATCCGCGATTGTCGATGTCTTACGATGGTATACCACGTAGTGTGACACCAGCGCCACCATTATTTCCGCGCTTACACAATAGCAATTATGAGAAAGGTTTGCCAACAGTTCAGGTAAAGGTTGTCATATGTTTTTTGCAAAAAAAATGCGCGTGAATAGATTAAGATATTTTTTAATAAATGGATTATCGATTGGACTTTTGTGTTTTTTATACAAAAATTTTCTTCGCAATTCTTGCATCTCAAGCTGTTTTCATATCTACTGTTCAATCGTTGGAATTATAAATTATTCAGATTTTTATAAAAATTAACTTGATAAACAACTATTACTTTTTAAATATAGACTTAATAAAATCTGTCTTTTTCTGATCGTTTATAAATTAAACTTTCAAAATGTTGAACAAAAAGTGAACAATTTACAGGTACGTCCTTTGCCAATTCATGAACGAATAAGTAGCTCATCAGTTGGTGGTGGTAGCCGATCTCCTTCATTAGCAGGCTCGAGTAAAGGTCGAATTGGTTGGATTCCAAAAAAGGGATCGGCAAAAAACTGTGAATCGGATCGTTGTATTGGCACCTGTGATGAAATGGAACCGGTATGTTCACTTTCTCTTTTTATTCAATCTTTTCCGTTTAAATAAATTATTGAAATATTAAGTTATCTTTCAAGATAAGATATTGGAATAATTTTGATATTTTCAGTTAGCCAATAATGAAGCATTGAGACGGTACGGTGAAATGATTATAGGCGGTGATGATGATGAAATGGCAAGTTGTTCATCTTCTCAATTACAACCGGCTGCTACTGATCGTTTTCGTCGATCCTCTGGGTAGACTGATAAAATATTTAAATTATCTAAAAGTGTTCACAGTGAATTTCGTTTTGCCGCAATAAATTTTTATGAAGTTGAAAATATTGAGAGAGAGAAATTTAATGGATGAAATTATTTAAAAAATTTTGCTGAAAACAAGATTATCAAACTTTTTTGTTCTAGTTCAAAATATAAAAGTCGAATGAAAAGGTCAAGAAATATTCCTGCATTCGATAAAGCTCCAACAAAGGAAGATTGGCGTGTGCAATGTGAAAAACGGGTAAAAATTTCAGTTTCTGAAATCTTTCAACTGTATAATGTAAGAAATGGATTGGATATTAACCATTATACATTTGGTCTTTTGTACAGCTATATCGTACTTTTAGATAAATGGAGCATGTGACGCAGCTGCTGAACTACGTGGCGAACGTTTAAAAAATAATCCTGGCATGGATAGAAATATTACAAATGGTTGATTTTTGCTACAAATAGTTTATGCATGCATCTTACATGCAAATTAAACTTATTGAAATTAAACTGGAATGAATTAATTCATATCAGAATTATTTTTTACTTTTATATATTTTATTACAGTGTTTAAATTCTTCAGCTTTTTCTCTCTTTTAGATTTTTCATCAAATATGCAAGAGGATAATGATTATATGACGATGCGACCGGTACATCGCCGAGTGATAACACAAAATTCAGAAAGTCAACGGAGACCTTTGTTGGAGACAAGTGATAGCGATGGTTATTCCATTCTTTCTTTTCTCTTCGTTGATAGTGATGTTGTTTCTTTCACCCATATTCCGTGCAATTTTTATCTTATATTTCAGGATCGGACAGTCCTGATTTCTTATATCCGAATGAATTGGAACCTTCGCAACGTAGAAAACCGCCACCTCCACCAGCGCATAATATTAGGCGGAAGAATAATGAGGTTGTTGCTGGTAGTGGCATTGTTTCGAATCGTGTTTATGATGAACCGGCTACTGATGTTACCAACACTGATAAAAAATCTTCTAAAGTAGTTAAAGTATACTTCACTGAATTTAATACAATTCTAACATTTGCTTTTCAGAAATCGGCAACTTTTCATTATTGATTTAGTAATTCGAAAGGATTTTAATGAGCAAGCGATTGATTGATGTTGCCGTTGAATTTTTTAATGTCATTTCAATATTGCAATTATAATCATTTGAAATTGAGAAAGATTCGATTCATTCAATACAAATTAAAATTTCATGAAAGAGAATTAGTCTTAAAAATAAAAACTAAAATATATAATAATTTTAGAAATCGCAATCGACTTCAGAATTGATGCATTCGTTGGAAAGATTTGAAGATTTTAGTAACATCGATGATAGTGATAATGATCGAACGGTGAACACATCCACGTCTTCAAATGTACATCAAACAATGGCCGTCCTCTAATAGCCACACTTTGTTATCATTCATAAGCCTTTCTAAATTTATTCTGAATTTTTCTTATCAACTGGAATACAAATGTTGTAACGGTACTTTGTTGTAGTAACGATTCAGTTCCGCATAATGCCGCCCAAATCGACCAGTTTACTTGTGTATTTATGGACAAAAATTGTTTGTCTAGAAAAAATTGGAAATTGAAAACTCTTTATAAAATTAAGTTGAGCTTTAAGTACTGTGCTGACTTTCTACTACATTTCTTTTACTGTTCTCTGTTCAAGAATTGATCAAAATTTCAGAAATATTTAGGAAGATTTGAAATTTCAGATTCTAACGATAGCGATAACCTATGAATCCGATTTATTGATAAGCTATTATATTTGAATTATGCAATAGGATGTAACAAAGTTTTCATTCCATTCAACAAATATTGCAAGTGTCATTGAAGGGTTTTTCAAGCCCATTCTCGAAATACGGGTTTACTTTTACTTTCTTCTTCTTCTTTTGTATTTTCAAGCTCATTTTGTACACTGTTTATCATATTTGCCAAGCAATAATCATCATTGATTTGTACACTTCATCCATTACTACTACTCATTGACATTCATTCTCCTAAATCATGCATTATATATGAGTCCCGATGCAGAGTTGTTGTGATTTACCAGATGATAAATCCGGTCAATTGAGATAGTTTTGCACAAATAATCTATTATGAAATCACATAGGTAATGCGTTGTTATATCATCTTTTTTCTTCTTGCTTTTATACCACTGAAGCTTTTCATCGCTATTATCAGTGAGCAGTATTATTGTAGTCGTCTAACGACTACGATAATATCATAACTATTCTTATCAGTGCGGTGATATAATTTTCATTCTTCATAGCACTGAATTACATACAGCATTTCTCACTCAAAATAAATAAAAATCTTTATGCTACGCATTATTTTCCCATTCACAAACATAAAAAATTCAATAGATTTGTGATTTATTGGAAAGTTTTAAAAGACTGTAGAACTCCTCATAATAAACAAATATCATTTCATGTCCTTTTGATTTCAAATATTGGTCCTTTTCAAATTCTTGTTCATTTTCTTTATGATGTAAACACTGAAGTACGTTATATTTATTTATAAAACGAAATTCAGAAAATTGATCGTTCATTAACAATGAATTTTAATTCTTGCAATATGCGATATTTCTCTAAGAAAACATGGAATTTTCTTGAAAGCATATAGAACATAGCATTCTGCAAATAGATGTGTTGTCAAGCCTTGTTGTCTCAATATTCCAAAGCCTTTTCAAGTACTGCTGAAATTAAATTTAACTTTCAAGCTTAGAACGTGAATAAATTTGCTATCAGTCAAATTATGCTTCAGATATCATTCTTGGTTGTTTTAATAATCGTTTATTTGATTTAAAAATTTAACGCAATTCCATGTAGCAGTTATTCAAGAATTATAATCGCGAAGCGTTCTCTGCAAAATCCTTTTGAATACTGATTAACTTTTTATGGACAAAATTTATTGATCGCAATATATAAAATACTTTGGCATTCTTATTGTCAGAGTATTGATTTTCTGGATGTTTTATAAGGGATAATTAATTAAACTTGAAGAAAGTTCGTTATGGATTCTTTCATCCGAAGTTCTACAGACCTTTTTAGGATGGAAAAATTATTCAAAATAATTTTAAAATACTCGCTTGCATACAAAACATACACGTAACCAGAAAATTTTGTCAAATTTTTTGAAATACATCAGTAAGAAACACATTGGATTGAATAAACATTTGCATTATTGAGAAAAATCTTTGTTACTTTATTGCTTAAATTATTTTTCACTTACATTCATTAAATTTAAGTCGGATATACTTTTAAAAGTTGCTTTCATTATTTTAAAATAGATCAACCGCATTAATTTAAATTTTGAAAATAATTCCAGAAGAAAATTTTTGAAATTAGTTTCTTCGTTGTCATGTTCTAATTTATTGAAATATCGGAAACTCAATAATATCTCAAATTATCTACTTCTCAATTAAATAATGCTCAGATTTTTAGGAAATAACGATTGGAAATTCGAAAGTTTTGTCAGAGCGTAATAGATTTCAATTTTATGAATTACTCCAGACTTATGGAAGTGAAAAGTTAAGACAATTTTTAGCTTCTAAATCATATAATTTCTTTCCAGGAATAATGTAATTAATAATAGCATAAAATGGTTGATCAGCTTCTGAATTATATAATTTCTTTTCGGGAATAATGTAATTAATAATAGCATAATCAAATGCGAATAATTTTAACCTTCTGAAACCCAATGATTATCACAAAAGCAATATTTCTTGAAATATATTTTACCTTCCTGAATTTAAAATACGACGAGTATCCTCGTTTTATTAAAAAATGGAAGATTGATCTTGGATGGATATGGTCAGAGTAAAGTCTCGTTTTTTGTTACCACTTTCTCCTCCATTAAAAAGTCAAAAAATGAACGTACACAGAAATGTTTTCTTTCGATCATTTTTACATTTCCAATTTCTTTTATTGGTTTTAAATTGTATATCAGACGTTTTTTGCTCAACAAAATTTAAAGTTTTTTTTTTTGCGATGTATTGAATTAATTTAATTTGAAGTGAGAAGGAGGAAGAGAGAGAATAAATTCATTTTGACATATTTTCTTTTTTAATTTGCTAAATTTCATAAAATCTCTGATTTTCAAGACAGAAACACGCAAGACTTCTTCCTTCTTTCTTCTCTCTTCTCAATTTCACAAAAATATACGAATTTGAATATGCGTGCACCATTTCATATTTCCTCTGTTACTTTCAATTCCCTATTCAGTAATGCAACGATGAAAATGAGAATTCGATCTGAATTTCAAAAAGAGAAAAATCAATCTCCTTACGTAGGATAAATTGGAAATTTAAAGAATGTTTTGAAAACTTTTTGCCTAATATTTTGAAACCATTAACACTTTTTTTAAATTAAAAATCAAAAAAAAAAGACTCATTTGATATTTTAAAACTCTATAAGCAGACAACCATAAATCGATTTGACTCTCAATTCTGTTATTTCGCTTATATATATATATATATAAAAGTACACTTTTGTGACTTCATAGAAACAGTTGGTAATATTGTCATATCTTCGTGAATAATTTCGCAATATGTCAAAATGAATTAATTTAATATCGACACTATTTTAATGGAGTAACATTATATAAATTACTTAATAATTGATGACAATTGGGAAGAAGGCCTGAATACTTTAATGCTTAGGCTTGCCTTTCAAACGTCATTTATTCAATTAAACTTATTACTTCAGCTTTGATATATCATTACACATATACACATACACATACACACACACACACACATACACACACACACACACATACACACACACATACGCACATACACACACAAACACACATTCTGCGCGATAACTTAAACCATAACTTAAACTATATAACTTATATAACTTAAATTGATTACAGATTCTTTTGCGCTTATGAGCATATTCTACATGAAATAATTCAATTTTCTTTAGTCCTCGACAGGTAACCTAGGTGACAAAGGAGGGGAGGACAAGAAGATCCATCCACCTCACACACATACACATACACACTCCCATATATATCACCGATACGTTCCTATGGATTTAAGGAGCACAACAGCGTAAACAACAGGCGCAAACTGATTTTAGTAAGTTATAATTTTTTCTTTACTCTGCTGAAATATGACTGCAAATTCTTTTCGAATTTCTCACTTTATTTTATTGAATTTTGTAAAGTGAAAGGTCAAGTGAAGGTGAGTGAAGAAAGCTTAAGAGTAGAATAAAAGATGAAAAAGATAATGAAGTGAGGTGAAATATGTTTCATAGAACTATACAGTGTGCCAGAAGAATGAATCATTGAATATCGTTCCTCCTTAGATACCCGCTTTGCACTGTACTCATTGTAATATGAAATTGATTTCGAGCTTGCTATTACGACTTCTTCTATTTTATTTTCCTTAAAAAAAGAGGAAGAATTTATTTGGAAATAAATGATCTTTAAGCTTCTAATGTTGTCTGAAATTTGAATATTTAAATTTTTGACTATTTTGACTTCTACAACAGTATGACAATCTCAATAATTATTCACGATTCCCTTATATCTTATCTACTAAGATATTATTTATCTTGCAGAAAAAATTATTAATTAAAAAAAGATCTCTAAATGTTCCGGAAGAAGAGTACGAAAAAGTAGAAACAGATGCTAATTTCTCTCATATGAAATAGGCAGACATCTTTCAAGGATACTGTTACAGCTATTTCAAACTTATTGCTTTTCCACTTTCTTTCTTCCTAGCATTGCCATCATCTGATTGGACAGCTTCTTACTTCAAGGTCAACAACGAAGCTAACCTTTCCTTTCTAATAATAGTAACAGTTCCACTTCTTATGTCTAATGGGCTGTTATATGTAAAACTACCATATTTTCATAGTAAGACAATTTCTGGGCTGCGTGAAGTTCTAGCCGGAGAGAATAGGTTTGCTTGAGTGGAAGGTAAGTCTCTCTCTTTGATGAATCTGATTTATTTCTTCCGGGATGTGGTAAGTGAAGTGTTACCACACAGTTAAGGGATTCGAATGAGATTAAGAGAGAGAGAATTAACTCAGATTTGAGTTAGATTCATATAGCAGTCAGGTTGAAGTCTTCTCACGCATGACGAATAAAGTAACTAACAGTGGAAAGCCGTTCTGGATAATTGGTTAGCTCATTTAGACATTAATGAGATAAACAGATAAATTATTCATGATGATACCAAAAATAAAAAAGTCAATCATTCAAATAATTACATCTGAATCAGTAATTCTATCTATATTTTCTTCCTTAACATAGTTTTTAAGAATTTTGATGCAAATGACCAGCCAATTCCTTTTGTTCCTAAGACATGAGATTGAATTTAGTGTAGTTTTTTCTCTTTTTTTTTAACATGATATCTTCGAATTCTTATTACTTTTAGGTTGTAGGAGATCTGTCTGATGTCCTATTTATTGCCATTATCATCGTGTTCAACCCCTGGTTGGAACGATCCACCTGCAGTACTTGACCCCACGAAGACGTCTTCATCACCGAGTACTGGTGCTTTAGCCAATAGACATCGGCGACCCGTGCATCCTTCCATTCAAGTATTATTTTCTATTTCTTTAAATTTAGGAGGAAATTATCTGTTAAGAAATATAGGAATCATGTTACTTCCATTGTTCCATACTTTAATTCTTTTTCTTCTCATCCTGTAGTTTCTTCCATTCAAAATTTCGATACTTCTTTTTGATAATTATGTCCTCTGATCAAACAGTGGTTTTCATAATTAAATGAGAGAATGACAACTTGATATTTTAATAAAAGATACCTTCTGAGAAAGTTTCTATTTAAAAAAGTCGAATAATCAATATTCGATGTCGCTACTGATTGCAAATTTGAAATGACCCCATATTTTAGTTTTTGATGAAGTGATCTTCCACAGTTCCACGTTAACATCTCACTTGTTCTCGTGATTTTTAGAATTTCAGTTTCTTTATATTAAGCAGATATTTAAAACCAGCTGAAAATTTCAAAATTGAACTGGAGCAAATCATTTTACAAGCAGCTTTCTTTTCTGTTAAGAAAACTGTTTTCAGGCTTCCAGTATTTCATCGGTATACACTAATTCGTCACGACCAATTTTGTCACCGCAAGCCGCAAATTCAACCCTAGTTCCAAGTCAGAATCCAGTTATAACTTTAAGTCAGGGGACTGCAGTCTGTGGAGCTGCTCCACAGCCAATCTACCCGACACCAGTACCAAATTATGCCACAATGGATTCATTTGTTTCATATTCTAATTCCTCATCTACAGACAAAACGAAGGATCAGTCAGTGAAGAAATCTTCAAACCTGCAGCTGCAGCAGCAGCAGCATCGTTCGATTTTTGATGCGTTCACTGTCCCAGGTGACAAATTTGATATACTTTACACGGATTCCTCTTCAATCTCACTGTTGTTAGAAGATGGCAGAACGATCAAACAGCAGTATTAAAAATTACGACAAAACTTTGTATGACAGCTACATTCTTGATTAATCTATTTTTATCTTATATATGCATAGCCATTTATATGTTTTCATCAGTCCATGCTTTCCATCTCGTTAGCTGATACAAGGCATACTGCTGTGATGATGACTAGCTGCAAGCTTTTGAAACATAATCCTGTACTGTCGCTAATTTGTACAATGTCTTAATTAAAGTACCTTTTTGTCCTCAGTTTTTTATTATTTTATGTAAATTCCGACATAGAAAGCAGTTTTACCAAATAGAGCAAACTAATTCATATATTACAGATCATCAGCGCCAGATGCTACCGAAATCAACAAGTCTAACATATGATACATCTGCAGAAAAGCTTCCTGAGAGTTGCTTTCAGGTGACTGTCAATGTCCCGACTTTCCATTATAATATCACAAATGAATTTATTAAGTTTAAGAACCATATCAATTCATTAAATTAAAGAATTATTTCGTATGTGTCGGTATTTATAATTGTTCATAATCTTAAAAGATTGGAAGGAACTGGCTTTAGAAAAGATCAGCTTTGCAAGCTTATCAAAGTACAATTATTTTATGGAAAATTTAGCTGCTTTCGATTATTTTATGGAAAATTTAACTGCAATTTAACTGCTTAGTCTTAATATGCCGAAGAAAGTCTTAAGTTCTCGCCAATCAACTGTGTTTCAGAAATCCTTTGACCCGAATTTATCCACTTCAGCAGGTGTTAAAGTCGCGCCTCCAATTGAAAGAAATCCGAATGCTTTAATTTACATTCCACCTAATGTAAGTTATAATAATTCACATCCCATCCAGTGTTTGTAAAAGCTAACAAAGAACTGACTATTTGAAAATTGTAAATTCAGATTATAGATGGAATTACGACTTCAATCGGTCAAAAGTCAGAATTGAATTTGTTTATGAACATTGATGATACATAATGTACAAAAGCATCTTTTCAGTTTTTTTTTTTTCAGATGATAAATGAAAATAGTAGAAGGCCTGTTACATCGCCATATCCAACTGATTATGTAGCACCCGTAAAGGCTGCTGGTGATGTATCTTTGAGTGGCCTTCAGCTTGTCCAGTTTTTGATCAAAGCCACATATAGACTGTCGGCTGTAACTTTTTCTTTATTTGGCTCATTACGTGATATATTTTACCTTCTTACTTGGTTGGAGTTTTTTCCTTCGTTGAGCGTAATATTGAGAAGTAGACGTACTTGTAAAAGATCTAGAAATGAGTAGACTTTCTTGCAAGAAAATTTAGTTAAGTTACTGAGTAAATTTAGTTACAGCTACTGAGTAAAATAGCGGTCTCCATTTTAAGACCAAGTATAGAAATTTTTCTGCAGAGTTTTATGATCTAAATGTTCTATTCAAGGAATGGTATATGATTTTCAGGGAGTAACAAGAGACGGAATTCAGTTGCGTATAAATCATCTGAGTGAGTCAATGGGTGCAGGTCAAGTGACAGATAGTTGCATCAAGAAGCTAAATTTTGTTGTTGATGGTAAGATCAAGCTTTCTTGATGCTTAAGTCTCTTAAATTCTTTTAATCTGATTTCTTCCTGAGGAACTAAATAATCTTTATCGTTATTTAGAAATCATATTCGATAAATTTTTCATTATCAGAAAAAAGCTGCAAGGAATTCATCATTGCTAGGAGTAATGAAGGAACATCATTGTAACGAATGAACTGATGAAGCAGTCGGACACAAACAAAATATTAAATATACATCTGCAATTGTTGTATTAATTGTGACAATTAATCGTGCAATAATGAGACCAGACAGTTAATTAGATGTATATTATGTCATATTTTTAGTGATTACTATACACGGTTTTTAATTCATAATTAGATCTAAAAAATTGTACTGCAGCACTGGATCGTGGCTTATTTGATGAAGCATATCAATTTTTTGATCAGTTGCAAACATCATTTCCAACCGAAGCTCGAACTAGTTGGGCTCAAGGTATTCGATTATTACTGAACGAATTGAGGCGTCCGGTTCGTATCGGCAGTGCTAATGCAACTCGTATTGGTAGTGCTGGTCCAACTCGACATCTGTAATGAGTGAAGCTGAATATCTAAATCAATTCACTTCTATTTTGTCCTCTAATTCTCGGTTAGGTTGTGGCTGTTTGTTTTTTTAAATTTTATTTGTAAGTTTGTGCGAATTTGTTAGGTTCTGATTGCACATTGTTATTAGAAATTGATATGTAGCGGTGTTGAAAAACTGTCTATTCTCTCCAGATACCGCATATTTTTTGACAGAATAAGATGGAATAATATCGAGTTTTCGAAATTTCTGTGATACTGATGATGACGCAGAGTTTATGAGTTTACTCGAAACTATTTAAATCCCAATTTTTAAATACTTTCTTAAGAAAAAGTGATTTTTATTATGAAGTACTTCCAAATGTTAATATCTGTGATTTGAGCATCCGAATATAGATTTTTATTATTAAGCATCTTTTTAAAACGCAAAGTTTGAATATAGTGAACTTAATACTTCGATGGATTAATATAATCGCTATAAATATGAAACATCCTTATTTTTCATTTGTTGCTTTTATTAATGTTTTTGAGCAGCATATTGTTTACTTGAAATTTTTTTATGAAGGAATTGAAATTATGCTAAAATTTGGCTATAATTAACAGGAAGGTTAGTGCAACAGATTTAAATTTACTTTTTCTTTTTTCTTATTGTAATTGCTTTCTATAACCGATCAAGTTTAACTATTTATATAATTCTGTCTTTTAGTATTTGGGTAAATAATTGTGAGATTTTTGACTTCATTGAAATAATCGCCATTGGCTTAGTAAACTGTTACTGATTATTAAAATTTCGTGTGAAAAACGGGAAGAAAGTCTGATGATTTATCCGGTGCATGCAAAATTCAGTTCCCGGTGGAAGTGCTTGCGTAAGTTAATCTTCAAGGACTGAAGCTAAGGAATGGTATAGACGACAGATTTATGTCGTGAAAACAGGTATTATGCGATTGACAGCTTGGTTGTGGAAGAATTTAAATACTCCGGAATGGAATCGTCGTGTTTGGGAAATCGGTTATCGTGGACCTTCACTTCCAAAGCTGAAAATGTATATATTTCTGAAATTTACGGTTTTTTTACCTGTATGAGAGGGCATCAGATTCAGGAAAGTGGCACAATGAGCGAAAAATGTTACAGAGTTGCTGCGAAATTGTAGTATGGCAGTCAGTCTGAAAGATCCGAATATTTTATTTTCATGGTACAATTTTCGTAGAATAATTATCTAACACTTTTAGAAAAGGCAGACCGGATTATCCGATTACTGACAATGCCATCAGAGAATTACAGAACAAAATGAAATTAGAATATGAAGTAATGAAGTGCCTTGCAACACCTTACTTAAGCAAGGTTTGCTTTTTTTCTATTTTTTTGATTTAAAAATTTTACGGAAAAAGATTTTGAGTAGGAGGTCTTTCATGAAACATCTAATATAATACTTTATTTTTAGTTTGTAGTTAGTTTTGAAAATTCATTTTCAAATGGATTCATTTTATTTTGTATGTATATTTTGTATATCATTGATGTTAATTAAGTTTTACTAAAACTTTTCACTGTGCTACGTGTATGCTGCAGAAAAGCGAAGAGGTATTAATTTGTATCTATGAAGGCAAGTTTAATTTTCAAGAGTGGACCATCATTGCATAAATTGAAATATTTATAATCTCTTTTTTATTTTGTTACATTTACAGTTTTTCAGGAGATGGAACATGAATATATTAAAAAATATGGCACATCTGCGGAACAGCAGGAGAAAGAACTTTTAGAAACGGAGCAACGTCGTATGCCCGGAAAACCTAAAAAGAGGATTGTTGGAAGTGGTAAAGTGTTGAAAGCAAGAGCGAATGTTGGTAATTTATTGCATGAACATCGAACTATTGAAAGCAGTTTGAAAGAACTAATTGTTAGGCAACGTTGGGATTGAGTGTGATATCAATTTTTAGTCTTTCATGTGATAGTTTGAGGGTTCAGAATAGATCTTTGCTAATCGATACAGTTATTATATATGCTAATAAAATATTAATAATATCTGCAAGACGAAATTCAGCACGAAATTCTCATTTTCACCACAGCAGAAATTAAAGAATCTTGAAAACCCAACATGTCATACTCGTAATTTTAAGAATCGTAATTTCGCAGTAAAATTAGTGACAATTCAACATTTGTGTTCTGAAATTCGGAAAATAGTCCAGAGAAATGGAATTTGTGAAATTATTAGATTACATGGGATAAAATAGCTTTAGTGAAATATTTCAGGTTGTAGCTTAGGGAATCAAGCGTAAAATAGTCGGCATTATAATCACAATAATCGCACACTATCTAAGAATTAAAGCAAAACCACTTTGAAGAGTGTATTGTTAGTTCTTCGGGTTTGGTAATAAAAGCATATGCAGAGAACTTCACATTATCACGGGAACATTTCCTGAAGATATCTCTTTCTCACTAAGTCATTTTTTTTTATAATTACTGCAATGATTTTTTTCAAGAGTTTTTTATTTGGCAAAGATAGAGCAGTGAATTAGGATTTCGGTAACGATCGCATTTATAAAGCTTAGCATATTTATGAAAGGTTAATCGTGAAGGAAGAGATGTGACAAGACCGCACGTATACTATCTTTTGTTTTTAAAGCTGAAAGCTAAAGTAAAGTTATTTGAAGAGTGAAATGTAAGCATGTCCATTACAGATCGTTATCGATAAGAAATGTTTTGATTGCCGTTTAATTCTCACCTTTGGCATTTAAATGGTTTTTCTTTAAACTTTGGTATAGCTTTCTATCAATTTTAATGGATAAAACAGTAAATTTTTTTTCTTGAAAATAATATTCAGGCAGCTAATGAATACCACAATAAGCAAAAGGCACATATTGTTGTCGAAATCATAAATTCCTTAGAAAAATAACGTCAAAGTATTCCATTATCAGGCATCACGTATAAGTTCATCTAAAAAGGAACACTTTGTAAACAGTTTGTGAATACTACTGTAAGCTCACTTGAGAAATGAAATAAAAAAATTGTTTTCTGCAAAAGTACAAAAAACCGGTTGACATTAATTTAGTACAAGTGATGTAAGAGCAATTTTCAATGAGTGTACAGAACTGAAATCAGAAAAGTAGCAATGAATTGATTTTTGTTTGACTGAAATATAATGAAAATTTCAAAGAGGTCTTGGTCTTAAGACTTTTTTTTTTGATTCAGTTCTTCCTCCTCTCATATGATAGAAAGATAGTGAAATTCATTGTTGCAGTGAAACTACGGGAAAAGTTTGGATAAGAATATTGACTTCAAAATTTCTATTACTGTACTTCTGCAATTAGTTCGATGAGCTAACGTCACATGAAAGCTTTAATGTAATTTGTAAGTTAATGAGTGAAAGTAAAAATGAAATTTCAATTTTTTTAAATTTCATTTCAAATGCTGTCACGGAGTTAATTCACGACCTGATATATGAAGATAAAAATTCTAGACCTATTTTTGAATTTAAGAATCTCATATTTCTAACAATATGAATTAGTGCTCTTTCAGTATATGTTAGGAAAATGAGGAGATGATAAATCATTTGAAGAAAAAATATAGAATTTTGTAAAATGAATGAAAAAACTAGTGATAGCTGTGGCAAACTGAGTTCATCACAAAAATAAGATCAAACTTAAAACAGATATAGCTTGGCTAAAATTGATTTCACATCTCTCGTACTCATTCAGATTGTCATCGGAATTGTTTCATTCAGAAAAAATGTTAAATTTAAGATTTTCAATTTAGCTTTTGTCGAAAATTTGTGAAATTATGGATTGACTTAACACATACAAAATTTATTGATTTTGCCATTGAAATTTAATGGGTCAGTGGCTGAGGAATGAATGGTTGCCACGAAACAACAAATTCCGGAAGCTTCGCACCTCTTCAGCCTTATTCTCTCCAAATATTCGTATCTCTACAACACTGTTATCATTCATCGAGCAATTTTGCTAGCAGATTAGTATTGAATTGATAGCCGATATGCACTCATAGGGAAAGGTTTTAAAATTATATTGAAATATGTTGCAGTTGTTTACTAAAGCATTTGCGAGCCATTCACTGTTTAATGTATGCTAATTGATTAACAAAACAATTAGCAAGGAATCAATGATGGATGAAATCTTTCTTATTTGTTGCAATGAGCATTTGACTGAATTAACGAATGATGCAATAATAAGCATTGATTGAGTAAGTCTCCATTCCTACAAATATTTGCATTTCGTTTCATTGGTTTAAGAGTACACAATCTGACGTACGTCAAATATTTTCAATGTTTAAATATTTTAGAGAATATATTTAATGTTTAAATATTTTAATGTTTAAAATATTTAAACATTTAAACATAAAATTTTTTTAATGTTTAAAATCAAATATTTCAATGTTTAAATATTTTAGAAAATGTTAATTTCACCATTTCCTGTTGCATTCATTTTTTACATATGCACATTATTAACTATTTTTCGGGGCTAAATGATGAGGAAATCAATCTTTCATCTTTCTCTTTTTTTTTCAAATATTTAAAATTGTAAAAAACATTGATCATTAAAACATCAAGCATAGTAAAAATCTGATATGACAAGAAGCCTTGCGGCATAAACTGCATCATCCTGCGGCCCTTTTATATTCAATCAAAATAATTTATGCAAAATATGCGCCATTATATGTTACTAAAAATGTGACATTACTTAATTAAATATTGAATTCAGAAATTTTTTCAAAGTGGGAATTCTTAAAGTAAATTTGAAAAACATTTAGAAAGTCAAAATTAAAAAAAAGTGACAGCAACATAAAAGCAGATGGAAAGAAACAAAAAAGGAGAGAGAGAGGAAGAGAGAAAGAAAGAGAGAAATTGACATATTTTCCATAGGGAAAACATGAATCATTTGCTTCTTGAATTGTTTTTCAATCCGCGAATATATTGGGACAGCAAGAAAAAACAGGCGATAGAATGAGTATTAAATGTAAACGAAGACATAAAGTGAGGATAGGACTGGCTAACTAAATAAATTCCTTTTTTTCCAAGGCATGGGGCAGTTTAACATTTCAAATACTTAAATAATTTTCATCAGGAAAAAAAAAATACTTCAAATATTGATTCAAAAAAAGTGCCAAGTAAAAGCAAATGATGAGTGATTCAATTAATTGAAGGATTACTTTCAGAAATGAAATATTAGTTAATCATATTCTATCTGATGAATTTATCAAATGTCACAGATTTTTTTCAGCTGTCGACACAGTTAATTCCTATATTCATTAGATGCCGTCGCAATAGTCTTACAAGAGTTAATCATTCGTCACATTATATAGTTATCAGATTGCTTCATTGTATTGTCCCCTTGTTAGTGTTGTAAATTAATCCTCACAACAAATATTTGTGAAAGGTCAACATAGCCCCAAGGCATATTTACAATCGACTACATCATACTTTGATAGCAAAGTTGTCATCAAAAATTAAAGGAAGTCACTACGCTGCAATAGATTGGAGATGACTCATAAGGATAACATGGTGGCAGTAATTGTGTGATATGTCATCTGTTGTTTGTGTTACGTGGGGGTGGGAGGGGTACGCATGAGGGGAGCTGAAGGGAAGGTTGAGGGGCGGGGGGAGGAGAATTATAAATTAAAGGCCAAACATCATTTCTGACTTGCATCTCGAACTTGAGAATCGTGCCTGAATATTAAGTTAGTTTTCTCTTTAAATTTCAACACATTTAGTTTTCTCTTTAAATTTCAACACATTTGCATTTTCTCCATTTTTACATTATATCCAGTATTGCCTTTTTATCAGACAGCATTATTTTCGCCTTATTCATTTAACTTATTCAATTTAATCAGCTGATGATAAACTTTCCATAACTATAAGGTATTTGTATGGTGGAGTGCGTGAATTACGTGAACTTTGCCTCATGCAAAATTTTTGTCCTCATTTGACCGTATATTTAGATATGTGTTTTGTCATCAATATATACACATAATTCTCAGCACATTATTTTTTTTATATTTGTGCTGGATGTATACCATATTATTTTGAAATGTAATCGGCATAGAATGTATGGCTGGCAGGTGATTAGTTAGAAGCTCGGCAACGAAAACTTTTTTATGCAACAAGACGCCTGAAATATCAAGTGTGCAGCATTGTCACAGTCAGATAGGCCATCACGCCAGAACCAGATGGCCTGTTATGTCTGATTCAGGTAATCTACTGTCTACTGTCAAAACTAGATGACACATAATGCTACATCGATGATTATTATGTCAAAACCAGGTGGCGCATTATGTCTTAGAAACTCGTTATATTATAACCAGCATTCACACTCATTGTTTCGTAACCAGAAGTCGCATTGTGTACGTGCAATATTGTATACGATAATTCCTATATTCCCTGATAAATTGGAGCGGGATGGATGCTTATTAGGCTCAAGGATACGTTATGTTTGATGAATCTTTCATTGCTCTGAGACAGTAATCGTGTATTGTTAGAGAAAGAAGTCATGTCATAGTCACTTTCAACATCGATATTTACGTTGTAACATATATAGTGCTTATCCCTAACTGTTTCATACTTTTTCATGTTCTCTAAAAAATCAAGCGATGGAATTTCGAAATTTAAAATCTAATTAACTTGTTGAGAAAAGTTCCTTACAGTAAAGGCACTAAAATTTATACTGTTTCTATTTCAAACTATTTATTTTAATTTACAATTTGTGCCATTTGTGATCAAATTTCATTTTATTTGGTATGCATTCATTTCTCATTTCCATTACTAAATTACACTCTTCTTGTGTCGCGAACATATTTGCATCACACACGAATCTTGTCACTAAGTATTTCGAAGTGTGTAGGGGATTGAATGTCCGTGGATGAAAGTCGCAGCTCGACCCCATTGGTTTCCACTAGCGAATCATCTTCACCAGCGGCGTCATCCTCATTACCCGACAGTCAAGGAGCCTGCTTTAATGGGTATTTTTTCTAGCCATTGAGTAGATTGTAGCCAGCAGACATCTGTTAATTCAATATCAGTCACTTTTTCTTGTTGAATAAGGGGAAGAAGTTTTGCTTGTTGATGATGCAAACAGAGTTACTTCTATGTTACTTCTCTTGAGTTACTTCTCTAGTCAGACTGTTAAAAGAACGCTTGCATTATATTCGAAATTCTTTATGCAATTAACCTTTTTTAAAAGAAATTCTCTAAGCTTTTCTAACTTTGCTGTCCACTTCATCTTTTATCATGTAGGACAAGTTCTCTTAATATTTTGGCTCTCATTTGACGAAATTGTATTTACTTTTAATTATGGTATGAGATTATTCTCTCTAAAAAAATTGGTCAACTGAAAAAGAATAAGAATTCGTTGGGGGACTAATTAGCATTTGGTTAAGAAATTTAGTTCAAAAATCCTGAAGAATGAATTCACATCTCCGAAATGAATTAGCACATTCCGTATGATGTGTTGTAATGAAATTTGCAAATACGGTATTCTAATTACATAATTTTAATGATTGTTTAGTATTCTAGCGGTCACTTTTTGAATAAAAGAATTTCATGTTCTACTTTTTAATATCATTGCATTTTGGATATCAAAGCGGTGTTGGCGAGAATGCTAGGGTGGAAAGTCCATCTCATGTTGTCAGTTTACCGAACAACATTTATATGCATCGCATACAATCTGCTTCACCTGCAGGTTTCTGTTAAGTATTGAAATTGATTTAAATTAGTATATGACACTATTTTTACTTTTAATTTTTTCCTTTCGTTTCGTAGTTACACATATATAATTATATAAAAAACATTGTATTTACAAAAAGTTCAATAGAACGCGAATATACATTAAAGTAATGCTCTCTATTCTGACAGATAACTTTAAGTAAAAATTCCATAAAATATAAACATTTTTGCAGATGACCACCAGTTCATTAGAAGACCATTGAACGCTTATATGATATTCACCAAACAAGAACGGAAGAAGTTGCTGGCTTTGAATCCAAATATGAAAATGCATGAAGCAAGCAGAATTGTAAGCATGCTCCCACGTTCCCATTCAGAAATGGCTACTTGGAAAACATAAAGATATCTAATTTTTATATTTTAGATGGGTGAAAAGTGGAAAAATATGAGTGAAAAGGAAAAACGACAATATTTTGAGGCATCCAAGCAGAACAGGCTGGATCATAAAAAAGTAAGTAGTTTTATATGTTATTCTTTTATTATCACTTATTTTCATTTTATTATAGAACTTTGCCATTTTTACTGTTAATTTTTGTCGAATGGGCATTGGAAGTATAAAATTTGTTGAGCAGGAATTATGGAAAGCTTTGAAATGGAGAGTTGTTATTAGCTCTCTGGCCACTTCCATTCCACCTTTTGGAAAAGATTTAGTGTGAGAATTTTTTCCAGTCTTTGCAAGTGCAAGTTTAAGAGAAGCAACTATTTCAAAGTTTCTTATACTTTATGTACACACGAATCGACTGATGGTCTGTTTCAAGAGCATTTGTTCTTAGGAAATATTATACCTGCCTGCTGAATTTGATAACAATTATTTCTCTTAGTTATTCAATAATTTTAGTTTACATATAAATACTCTGCAACTATTACGTTACTATGGAAGCAATCATGAATTCTCAGAAATACTGCAGGGGTAGCTGTAAAAGTTCACACTCTTCTAAATATATTTAAAAAATATAGAGAGCGCGTTGAGCGAAATATTACCAAGTTGTGTTTAAACTAGGGAGCTCATGGTAAAAGCTCGGCATGCATGCACATGCACACATGCGCTGACATGCACGCATGCACACGGAACATACAAAAGTACTCATCCACGTTCACACACGCACGTATACCCATACATACATATAGACTTATACAAGGCACTTCTATTTAGCTCTCTTCAGGTGCTGTTTGGTTCACTTTAGTCACTTTGCGTTAGTAGCTGCAATAGTGCATCTTCCTGTGTGTATGTATATGCGTATTTTGCTCACTTCATTGCAAAAGGATGCCAACCATAACTTCATTTTGATACAGTCGTCGCGTGGTGGTATGATATGGTGTTTACTAGTTCATTTCCACAAACTAGCAAACTTTCAAGTCATTCTGTGAAATGTTTTGTTATCGATGTTACACTTCCAGTTAATTCAGCATTTCTTGACTTGTTTTTTGATAATTTTTTGAAATTCTTTTTAAGCACTAGTAAGCAAAAGTTATGTATATTTCATTAGTGATAGAATATGGTTATGATGTATTCACGAGGCAAATAAGTAAAGCTGCACTTTATTTATTCAATGGTCATGAAAATGAAATATAACGGATAGAGAGCGAATTTCCACTTTTACATGCTGAAAAGTTTTCGTAAAACCATATGATAATAAGTTTTGTGAACTCTTTGACTTGTCAGTCTTAAATTTCAGTCAATCTTATATGATTAAATAAAAGTTTGTAAATCATTTTTCTATAAAACTCTGGTTCTATTATTGCGAAATATCACTGTAGTGTGTTCGGGCAAGAAGATTCATGGCTTACTTTCCTTCTCCTGTTCGGTGTCTGTGGAATAAATTGTTGATACTTTTTTCCTTTTACTGATTCTTTAATTTGGAAATCACTACAAACATTTTAAAATTCTAAGACTAAAAAATGATTCTTGTGATGTCGTAGTTCTTATTGCTGTACTTGATGTCGGTATTTGGATGTTTGGATGGATATCTGAATGGATAGATGGACGAACAGTGGTGGAGCGAGTAGGCACTTGTGGGAGAGCATACATAATTTCGAGAAGCATTTTCTCGTGGGTAGGAGTGATGTGCTTCCCCTTCTTTGCACAGAGACAGACCTTGTCTCGGGATATATTTGTGCTAGTGTGTATGTGTGTGTTTGTGTTTGTCTGTGTGTATATATGCCTGTGTGGGTGTGTGTCAGCGCTTGTTTATGTGGTGCTTTCACTTATGTTTCCTAGTTCGTGCAATTTTTTTTAGTAGCCTGCCTTCAAATTGATATTGAGGTTCTCTTTCGTTTGACAACAAACAAATTAGATTGCAGTTTCCAACTCAATAGGGCGATTTGGATAGCTTTTTTTTTACTGTGGAGAAGCAGTTTATGCCTCGATGGAAATGGTTAGATAGCTGTGACTGATCGAAATAGTCATTCCGCTATTAGTCGATATGCCGCTATGAATTCCTGGACAGTTCTATCTTAATCATATTCCAATATTTTTCATGTAAGGGCCACTTAACATTTTACAGGCTTTGAAAGACAACCCGAATTTGGTTTACCATCCACAACGGAAAAAATTATCCAAAATCCTCATGAAAACGGAGCCATCAAATATAACCTTTGATACTGCACCAAGTGCACCACTGAATAATGGAGGTGCAACACCAATGGCATTTGCTGCTCCATCAACACCGAAAATCAGTAAATTTTTGCTTAACCGTTCGTGCATGGTAATTTACACCGCCATATAAGTGATAAATGATTATTCCAGAACCGATTTCTATAAATTTCTGTTCCAAGTCCATCTGTTTATCAAGGAAAACTTCCAATTTCCATTAGGAATACTTAATATATATTAGAAGAAAATCGTATCATTTAAATCAATAATTACATAAAATTAAGTTATTACTTTTATTAGTGTTTCCGGAATCTATTTTTCTCAGGCGCCATAATTTATAATTGGTGTTGAATGCTGAAAAGTTTTCAGATGGATGCGTCAACGGCAATGTGGTATATGCTCAAGTTCCAGCGCAAAGTAAATTTTTCGGTTTTTATTTTAATTCAGGACATTCCAAATTACTGCTTTATTTTCTGCTAATTTTATTAATTTGCAATTTAATTTTCATGCTTGAAAATTATTTCCGTAAAATATGGTGCTTGCAGCGCTCACCTCAGCTCCTCCAGGGACGGTTATATTAGCACAAACAGTTAATGTACGGACACCGCAACACCTATCTCAAGTAAACTTTGGAATTATGCTACTCGCTAGGAAGGAAGATGTTAAAAAATTCATTTTGAATAAATTTAGAAGGGTTGGACCAATTTAGATAGAATTAATCCTGTTTTCGCTTAATAACATTTTTGCTTTTTGTCAGCGATGCATGAAAAACTTCTAATGCGTTATTATTAGACTTTATTACTCCGAAATGTAAAAATAGGATTCGGAAACTAACACTAAATTGTTTCAATAATAAAAACTAATTTTTTTAATCAGTGAAAAACTAATTATTTTAGTCAGCGAAAAAAGTAAATGTCATATCACTCTTATTTCAGCGAAATCAGCAAGCGGCACAATCAGTGCAACAAAACAGTTCGCACCCAAATTTATCGGCTACTATGCATCAAATGTTAGAGTTATATTATACGTCTCTTTGTGAACCCGCTTTTCCTGAGCCAGGTGAGTGTAATTGTGCTTATATGTATAAAATAAAAAATGCGAAATCTTTTTTGGAGGAAAAAGGCCAATTTGAAAATTCGGATGTACTCTGTCGAGTTGGCAGACCATTTTCTAAGATTTAAATTAATTTAATATTGAGGAAAGCTGTCTCGAATTTCATATGTTTTATGAAGGAAATCAGGTGTAAACCTCAGATTTTATGCATAACTTGAGGCTTATATAATTTTATTTCAATTTCTGCAGCCTATCTTTTGCATTAAAACTTTCAATATTGATCCAATTTTAGGCGAGAAGAGTACTTTGGCATCGCCTCAGCACTATTTGGATCAATATCATATGTTGCACCATCAAGCTGTAACTAAACAGCAACAGCACGGTAATCAGTCGTTACCACAGTCAGCATCATGAATTGAAGAAGTGAGGTATATTTGATTTGGAGCTTGTGTGATTTTGGACTATACACATATCCTACTTTACGATTGGGAAAAAGATATAAGACAAGAAAAGTGTTCTGGTACCACGCAGTATTACTTCGACTATAATGTGTTCTTTTTTAAAGTGATATCTAATTAAATTAATATTTCTAAAATCAACTCATTAATTGAAGATTTCAGTTCTTTTAAATTAGCACTGATCCCTTTGATCTTCACTTCATTTTTTGCAGTACTTTTATGCGAAGTGTACTCAGTTTCTGTAAAAACAAGGGGTGATAATCACAAGCTATTCCTGTTTTGTTGGTTCGAATAACAGGAATAGTTCTTGTTTTGCTGCAGGATTTCCAGTTTGGTTCCAAAAAAGATAATGTTTATAATAATTTAAATTATACGTTGTTTATGCGTTGTTTTAATATTATTTTGTCTTCATAAAACAATTTTAGAAATTCGCTAATTTATGCTTATTTATAAATGGTTATTCATTTATTATGTTCTGTTGTTTTCACTACAGATATATTTTATTAAATTTTTGTTGGTAAGTTTTATTTTCTGGAACAATCTAGCTATTGAATATAATGCTCGATGTTTAACTATCTCCAAAGTCAGCCAAAGAATTTTTATATATGACAACACTAGTTATGATTGGGACAGTTTGCATCAAGTAAACTAGTAAGTTCCATTGAAATTTCGAAAAGATTTATATTTTTGATGATTTCAGGATATTGAGCTTCTATTTGAAGTGATTTTTATTATTTATTGAGAAATTGTTCCGAAATTGTCATTCTTTTTCCATTGTTAAGTTTTCACATAATTCTTTTTCGAAATTCGTTTCCTTTTTCTTGTCGTGAAAGAATTAATAGCAGCTAAGTTAAATTTGAAGGATCGAGTTTTTTCTCGTCCGTTGGGAAAAGCTGGAGATTGTAGATGTAAGATTGAAAGTATTATATGGTTTAAAATTTGCTGAGTTTAGTCTTGCTTGCAGAGAGCAGAGAAAAATGGAGGTTTTCAGAGATTTCAAGGTGTTTTTTTTATAAATCTGGGATTTTTGTTAATTGTGGTGAAATTCTGCATTTGTGGATGGTCTTTACTGTGATATCACAATTATAGTCATCCTTTTTGGTGGGGTACAGCTCTCTTTTATTCTAATAATTATGATAGAACTTCTGTGTTTTTTGAAATATTTCTGTTGCTCAGTACTGCAATTGAAATGCAAATCATTTTGGACCGTTTCGGTTCTGGACTTCAAAATCGAATTTGAAGTTAATTGAAATGTGTGCTATCTAGCGTATAGAGTGCTTAGAGATCATGGAAAATTTCGAAATATGAATCACGAGTATGCTTATGGGGCATTTCATTGTTCTTTCAAAAGTCTCGTTTTTTCCTATACGCTAGATGACTAATTAAATTATTGCCAAACACCCGAATTTTTAGTTGAAGTTTCTTTTTCAGCATTGTAAGGTTGACATGTTTGTTCGTACGTTGTTCACTGTTTATTGTTTTATCATGAAATATGTTTAATATTTTCTGTAACTTCAAAAGTGTGTGAAATAAAAACATGTCTTGTGACTCTTTGTGAAACATTTCTTATACGATTTTTTTGTATCAGATCTATCTGTTTTGTGGACCGACACTTTTGAGACGATAATAAAATGGATTTATTGGAAAAAAGTCTAATATTTGTAGCAGAATATAAGCGAGAGCACTGCTTGACGGACTTTTTTGAAATAAAAGCATCTGGAAAATCCTTGTATTTTCACCTCAACAATTCCATTCGGTGAATTAAATTAGTAAAATAGCCAAAAATGTTTCATTTATGTCCCGCACTTGTTTTGGAAGACAAGAGTTCAGTGTTGAAACGCAATAGCATGGATTTGTTAAACAAATTCCAATCTATGAATGCCACTGACTAACTGTTGAATACTTTATAGACATAGCTTGTCAGTGAAGGGAAATACTCTCATCTGTTGTTTCTCTCTCTCTCTCTCTCTCTCTCTCTCTCTGCCTCTTATCAGTGCATTCATTGATGGTAACCTTTCATTTTAGTTTCTATCCACTACTTTTCATCACTTCCATATTCGATAATTACGAACGAGTTAAATATTAATTAAATAAATGTTTTTCTCTTACTGTTGCTCTCAATTTTTTAAAATCATGTAATTGTTGCGGTTATTGCTGAGCGATATCACAAAACGATATCTGTGATTGAAATATAAAATAGGCCTTAGCATTTCAAATTTTATTGTTCTTCGTTTTGTATTATTCAAAATAAAGATGTGTAGCATTCAAAAGAATGCCATATTTATAGCAATTATATTTTGTGTTGACATTCAAAAAAGTCAGAACTTTTTTCCTTGAAATATAAAAAGAAATGAGTTGACAAGAATAAAATTTTGCTAACAACCTATAACCTGTGCATGGTAAAATAGAAAGAAAAACTGAACAAAAAAGGAACTAAAAAATATGACATGATAATATGAGCATGACAAAAATGATATCGTTCGAGAATTTTATAAACTGCAGGGTGAAGTTTTTTTTTCGATAAAATTTGAAAATTTTTGATTGAAAATTTTATTGATCGTAGGATGAGATATTTCCAAATTATAGTTGTATTATTTCTTAATTTCCTTTCATGTTATCATAATGAAACGATATTACTGAACATTGCAGAAATCGTTAGAACGAGCCAAAAAGCTATGTCACACTTATATATTTCCCAATTACGATGCTTAAACACTTTTTACACTAACCTTATAAAGGTAAATATTAAAATATGTTTGTTAATGAAAATAGAAAACCAAATTGTATTTCCTGATAGTTCTCAGAAAGATATTAGGACAAAGTAATTAAATATAAAATTTGATGATAAAGTATTTTGCATTCGTGTCAGAAGAATATTTAAAGAGCTGCTTCTCAACAACAAATTCAATAAAGTCTTGACATTTATTTAATAATTTAAAAAAAAAATTGAAATTTCAAGTGTTAGAAGGGACAAGTGGAGATTAATTTTCAACGACGATTGATCAAACAAGCAAGAAGCGAACACGAGCAGAATGATACAAATGATAAAAAGTGATTGTGTCGATCTGTTAACTTCACCAATGAACCGTTCATATGAGAGATGCGCCTTTGCATTGCATTATTGATGGCTGGCAATTGCTATTGGTTTCTGGCAAAATATGGACATATGAGTGAGTGAAATAATTTTATTTCATATTTCTCTACAGTTATACTTTAAGCAATAGCATAGATGAGAAAGCCTTCCCTGAAATAGAAAGTTTTTGCATGATGACATCTTCTAACAAAAGGAGAGTGACGAGGATAATTTAAAGTTAATTTTTGTGCGTTTTTTTACTTCAAAAAATTTATTGAACGAGTAATAATGTTATTTTGAATTTTTAATTGATGATAAGAAAATGCTTTAAGATATTTTTCATTTTCTTATTCTTTAGCAATCGAAAATTGCTTAATTCCAAAAATTAATTTTTCTCACGGAGATTTTACAATGCATAGATAGGAGATGCCGTCTTAAACATTGATATTGATACTAGCTAGTTTTTAAATCATGTGAAGAAATGAATTTCAAGATTGCGAGTTTCAGTGAGCTATTCACATCCGGAAATTCATTATGATCAAGGAATTGTTGCATATCGGGTTATTATTGATTTAATAGAAAATGATCTCCCGAAGCATGACAAATTTTAAGTCTTCCTAATTCATCGGTTCAAGCAGCTCATTTTAGATGCATAAATGCGACGAAAATGTGACTAATTTATTTTTCAGCTGAAGAAGAAAATATGTTAATATTGCATTAAAATTAAATCTTTTTAATAAATTTCAAAATTTTGCTTAGCTTATTAAATAGTATGAAATTAGACGGGGGGAAATCTTGAAAACCTTAATGATCAAAGTTATTAGTGAAAAATGATAGTAAAATCAAATGATCAGTTGTTGTCTGAAATTTAGTCCGACTAATCAACCGTATCAACAGCGACAATCTGAAATCACGAACTGATTTTAACTCAAAGTATCGTTGATCGCAGTCAGGTCTGCTAGTTTGATTGAAGAATTCAAAAACACTGAATTTAAAATGGACGATTGCAAATAATCTGTTGTAATTTTTTATCGAAGCTGATATTTATTTATTGTAATTTTTTATTTATATCAACTTTGCGATGTCGTATAATGACACTTTTTATTGTTAAATTCAAAACAGTTCATTCTTTTCTTCTGATACCAATTTATAAAATTTCCACTTCCTAATTTCCATCTCATCCGAACAAGATATGTATCATTCTGGTCATGATTTTTGAATATTATTTAAATACTTTTTGATTGATCAATTTATGGACAATATGAAGTTGTATATTATCTCAAAGTTATGCAAACTTTAATCTTATTAACGCAAAGGAATTTAAAATTATAAATATGATATTTCTGAATTCGAAAAAAATGAAAAATTTTCTGTAATTATTGTTAAAACTTGAGAACTCTGTTTTATAGGATAAGCAATTAATAAGTGAAAGTATTTCAAAAAGTATAGCAAAATGCTTGCTTATCTCATCGATGAGTTACAAAGATGAAATTCAAAGATGAAATATATTTTACATATAAATACATTCGAATATTTCGCAGTGATTTGTGAATTTTAATGAATCTCAACTTCATATTTTGGCAAATTTTGAAAAAACTTGTCAAAAATATTACGAAATATGAGAAAGAAATTTCACAATTCAACTAGTTGGAAATAAATGCATCTATTTTAAAGATGTTATAATAAATGTATAATAATAAAGATTGATTTCATTTCATCGACGTATTACTTCCGAAGCGGTCGCATAAAGCAAACAGATTGTAAGCGAATAATTTATTCGGAATATTTAGTTTATTCTATTTAATTTTGTAAGTCTTTCAAAGGTTTATCTAAGCTTAAATACTGATTTCTAGTAATGCCGAAAACTCTGAGTGAAATTAAAAAACTCTCCGCTTATCCAGATAATTTCGAAAAAGCAATTGGCTTCATAAAGGTTAGCACAGAATAATTCACATATTTGTTGACCTCTTATTTGACCATCTGAAATAAATTATCTCCTGTAATGTCATATGCTTATGTTGATGCCTATATTGTGATAGTAGCAGTTGACCGTCCAATTAATCAATCTATAATTCTAGTTAATCATGAGTTAATCATAAAATTACCTGTATAATCATTTAATCATCCTTCAGATAACACAAGAATATACTATAGATGTTGTAGCAGCAATTGAAAAGTTGATTAATACTCCACCATCAAGGCAATCTAAAGAGAATGATTTGGAGCGATTAGCACATACAGCACAAAAGTTATTTTATTTAACATTAATATCAATCCGATTAAAATTTACCACCATTCTCTCTAATTATCAATAATTGTCAACCATTTAATTTTTTTTTCATAATCTAATTATAGCTCTGTGATACATTCACATTTTTTCCCAAACTTTTTCAAGAAAAAAAAAACGAGTTGTAAGTGGAAATGTTATTAGTTTTACTGATCTCATTATTAAAACATTGAAAAACCATTAACATTTCAGCACTGTGAAAATTATGTAATTTTTTAATTATAATTTTTAAAAGTAAACAAAGTTAATACAGCAAATATTAAGAGCTATTCGATTAAGAATGTCAATAAATATTTGTCGTTTAATCGGAAATGATATTTTTTCCTCTATTCCTACAATCTTACAACTACAAATCTTTTAACAATCTTTCCTTAAAAATAGATCTGACTTTATTTCCGTCCAAAAAAAGATTTTTGAGCAATGCTCTCGCAATACTAGAAATGAAAGAGTATTTACCGTTGAAATGGACCATTTCCAAAAAATGCTGTCTACTACTTGTCAACTGAAAAATTAGCAAACATTGGAGATCGGTAATTTTCTAGAAAATTCAAATACTTTCAGAAAGTTACAGAAACTCTCATCCTATTCTTAGTGATAATACAATATTTAAACTGTTGAATATTATTTAAATAAGATTTGTTTTTTAACTTATTTCCTTTTTTTATTCGATAGTATTAGCTGTGAAGTATACATCATTCTCAGCTCGAGTGTTGTTTTTTTGTGAAATGAAAATTATTAACTTAGCAAATATCATGAAAACTCATCAATCCAAAAATGCATTTCCTAATCATAATAATAACAATAAAGGATTAAAATAAGCAAACATAATCATCATTAATAAAGGGTTGAATATTTACCTGTTTATGAAAATATTTAAAAATCATTACAGTACATGCCATATTTTGTTTCTGGCGGTTTCTATGAAGCACTTCAAGCAACAGCAAATGTTTGCATTTCAATTGCAAAACAAGAACGTGAAGCTCAAATGGAAGCATTCCAACGAGTGATTACACCGATGAAAAGTTGGATTCAGGAAGATTATCCACGCCTTATGAAGGTCCATTCACTTATCACTTTACAAGAATTATTTTTATACTTTCGAAATTCATCATACGCTCTTTTATTCATTATAATTTTAATGTATTGCAAATTGACACTTGAAAAATGTGAAACTTTTAGGATTGATATTTAATATACATATATTTATTTATACATGTTCATTTAACTTTTTAATTATTTTGATTACTAAGCATAAACAGAATCAAATGTGAAATTTTAAATAGAATTATTATCCAAATAAATTGTAGATTCAAAATAATCAAAAAAATAAAACTTCATGATCTCATAAAAGTATGTAAACTGCAAAGAGCAGAAAAATCTTCTTAATTCGAAGAATATTATTTATTCGAAAGAAAAAAATGCAATTATTGAGAGTAAGAAGTGTTGAATGATTCAAAACATATGGAAACGATAGCGATAAAATGCTGCAAAAATTGTCAATCATTTTAAAAATTTTCCTTTATTTTTTACTGCAATGTTACAGAATTTTTGCTTTTAGGATATTAAGAAATGTTATAATTTAAAAGATAAAATGGATCGAAGTATGGCAAGTGTTGAGGCTCGAAAAACACCGGAACGTGTTATGAGAGCGCAAGAAGCCAAAAATAAGCATCAATTATTCTTTGAACGTGTTGAAAATGAGGTTAATTTGTTCATTATTATAATTGAAATTTATTTTTACAAATTTTAAAATTTCTTATTACTTTTAAGGTAATGCGTTACAAAGCGATACATAGACATCACATGCAATGCCTTAAAGTATTGATGCTAAAAAGTGTACGTTTCTTTTATACTGAAATATTTTGATGTGTTCCAAATTGTTTTCAAAAGAATTGTTACTTTCCATAATAATCAAAAAGGTCATCTATAACCTTTGATGAGCGACTTTATTTCTTCGGCGACTTCATAAGACGCACTGAAGTCTAAAACGTGAGTAATCATGCTCAAGTGTCCATTACTTACTGCAATATCAAAACAACTAATTCCGCCTTCGATTGAAACTGTAGAAGAAACTATCTTTTGTTTTTGGTTACCACAATCTTATCTGAGCAATTAATTTTTCAATGAATATTTCGATGATAAAGGAGGATTTTAGGTCTTAGTGATTGATTCTATTAGATCACTTTATTCATTTCATTTTACAATTACTTTTTAATTTCATTCAATTTCTGCTTCTTAAATTTTTTTAACGATTTCTTTCAGTATCAGTTTGAGCGGAAGGCAAAGGATGAATTCTATTCGGCATTTATGAAATGTGAAGCTGAAATTGATGCTGGGACAGCAGCACTGAAAGAAGCGGCCAAATATATGACTGTTGAAGAAATAGATTTAGAGAAGTCGAAGAATGGAGACGACAAGGAATCGGGAAAGAATTCATCGCAAAAAGTTAACGCAAAATCCGACGAACCGGAAAGACAAAAGGCTCATGTAAAGCCGAAAAAAGTGCAAAAGGAAATGGATGGTGTAAAATTGGAGAAATCGGAGAAGCAAACTGATAAACAGAAGAAGGATAAGAAAACTGACGAGGGAGAGAATGCTAATGCTGGAAAGAATATTGCTGGAAAGGACTCAGAAGAAATTAAATGAAAAATCAAATGAAATGGAAATGAAAACGATGCTAATTAGCTGTTGTAAATCTCTGCACAAAAAGTCTAATTAATTTGCCGAAAGAACAATTAATAGCAATCATTCCATTTCAAAATTCTTTGCAATATTTTATTTTAGACGGTCTTAAAAAATAAAGCTAAAAATGAAATCTTATAAATTTTTCGTTTTCTATTCCATGACATTTAAAATCTTTCTCCCATTCAGGAAAAAAATTCCACATCTGAAAGAAGAAAAAAATTGAAGTTTACGCTTCATTTTTTTGCTAATTCAACAAATAGTCATTCGATGAGAAGAGAAACAAAATAAAAAGAAAGGAAAATCAAGATGTTTATTTTTATATATAAATGGTACTAGAAAAGACGAGAGATTGCGAGTGGAAGCTTCGAAATATCAATATTTATAGAACTTAATTAATTTCAATATCTTTCAAATATTGCCGAAAGTATTTCAAACATTGAGATCTGACTGATCCATTCTCATTCTTTTCCCGGTGGTTTTAACCATTTCACTCATGTCACCATCAATTATTACTTGTAATTCATTTAAACTACAGTTGATGTAGAATGAAAGAATTTTTGCCATACTCGGAAATGTACGTGAAGTCATAATATTTTTAACGATTAAAACAAGCAGTGATTTATTAATAGCTGGAAAAATGCATTGAAATTATCAGTTTGTTGGAAAAATAAAATATGTAAAAGTGAATTCAATCTCATAATTCATAATTCAATCCAACTGTTTTCATTTCAAATTTGTAAACCGGTTGCTTGCTTGCAAAAAAAGATTTGCCAATGTGTAAACCCGACGAAAAACCTTTGCCAGATCCATCTGTTGTTGGCGTAATGGAGGTTTGATACGATTTTCTCGATTTCTAAAACAATTCTAAGTTATCTTAAAATTTAATAAATGCAAATAAATGATTAATATTTTTTGGAAGTAAATTTTAAGAGCTTTTCTAGCATTATTCGAAATAATATATAAATATTAGAATTTTAGGCCTTAAAGGCTGCATATGAGAGAAAAGTGGTACCATCTGAAAGACGTTATTTATACAGTGAATTCGACACGCCACCATTACGTGATCAAGAATTTATGGTTCGTTCGCAAATTAATTCTAAGTTCCGATATTGTTAAGTCTAAGCACTGACAGCACATTAGTAAGCAATTTTAATAAATTGTAAATAATTAATCAGTAACACAGGAACTAGAATTTCTCAAATAAATAGCAAATGTTAAATATAATTACAAAACATATTTTATTGTTGAAATTTGTTAGTTTTCTCTTAATTTTATTAAATTTTGATATTTTATACAAATTTTGAAAAAATTATAAAATACAATTATTGCATAGCATAGATTTCAGGGTAAACCTACGATACTATTACTTGGTCAATATTCGGTGGGTAAAACATCAATGATCTCATATTTGTTGAATGGTAATTATCCCGGTGCTGATATCGGTCCTGAACCAACAACCGATATTTTTGCACATGTGGATTATAGCGAGAAACCACAAACGATATCCGGTATAACCTTGGCTTCCGATAAGACTTATCAATTTCAGGTTCACATTTCAAGCTTACATAAAATCAGTTTTTTTACAGCTAAAAATTTTTTATATTCAAAATTAATGGATATGTTTGATTTGACATTCTTTTTAATTACTTAATTTTCTTTGCATAAATATTGGATTATGATCCAATCACTTATTCTCAAATCCCTTTTTTTGGAAAAAAGTTAAATTTTCAGTCGTTAAATATATTTGGTGATGTATTTTTAAACAAGTTGAGAGCTACACGTTTCAAAGCACCACTTTTGAAGTACATTTCTATCATTGATACACCTGGTATTCTTACCGGTGATAAACAGGTATCACTTTTGTTATTGAAAAAAATTAAATTCCTTTCAGATATTGAGCATTTAACAACAACATTTCCTTTTCCTTCATTTTTCACTGAAGTCATAATGGAAATTTCTAAAAATATACCAAAATTTTAAACTTTTTTCAATTATTTAAATGAGGGTGAAAATTTTACAGGTAGAAAATAGAGGTTATGATTTTGCGAAAGTTATCAAATTTTTATCCAACAAAGTTGATTGCATATTTTTGCTATTTGATGCTAACAAGCTTGATATCAGCGATGAATACAAACAGGTTTCTAAAAAATCGAAGTTTTTTTTTTCAATTTTAAAAAATGTTCCGATGTTTTGCTGTAGTAATAAAAGATTTAGTTTTTCAATGCAAATATTGCAAGTTTTTAAATATTGCAGGTCATTCAAATTTTGGAAGGTAATGAAGATAAAATTAAAATCATCCTGAACAAAGCTGATTGGGTTAGGCCACGCGAACTAGTTCACGTACGTGGTGCACTGATGTGGGCACTTGGGAAAATTATGCGCTGTCCCGAAGTACCGAAAGTAATGACATCTTTTTTCCTTTTAACTCACTCTAAGAATTTTCATTTCAACTTGTGTCTTTAAACTTATCTCGGAATCTTCATAATTAATTAGAAATTTAATAAGTTAAATTTCATATTAAGTTTAATATTCAAAATGAAATATTTTTATTGACTTTGCATTATTGATATTTTTCACGTAACATTCTAAATTTTTCAAAAAAACCAGCGGTTGAACAGATGACCTGCAAAGTTGAATAATTTTCAGGTTTTCATTGGTTCATTCTGGCCATATTGGTCTGACAAAAATATTCTTTTGCGTGATGCAATTAAGGAAGATTTAGCAGCTGTCGTTAAAGAAATTGCTGATTTGCCTAATTCATACCATCGCAGACGTATCAATGATGTCGCAAAACGAGCGAGAAATGTAAGTGAAATAATTAATTTAAATATATTTGATGTTTTCATTATCGAATAATAATAAATTAACAATCATTGTTAACAATAACCTGTACAATTGAAGATAAGAATGCTTAAATATTTTAAGTCAATTCTTTTTGAGATACGAATTCATAGCTATGTAATGGATGAAATCGTAAGAAGAAAGCTATTTTTCACCAAAACTCTAACAGCGACCGATACGGAGACACAACCACACAAATTGCGTAACGTTTATAAGGCTTTAGCGTTAAGCCGACGAATTGTCATAAATGATTTTCCTGATCCTGAACTGTTCCATATTAAAGCTAGGGCGGTAATACATTTTCTGAAAACAATCATTTTTGGATTTTGATTAAAGTTAGAGTTACAACATTTTAAACTATTTTTAATCTTTTTTTTTTGATTAGAAGTAGTTTTAAAAAAGTAGAAGATAATAATAAAAGGCAAAGTTTTCAATTAAAATGAATTTTATTTTCAGACTAAAGCAAAAGATTGGGCACGAATTGATCACAAATTAGAAAAGTTACTCAATTCATTCATTGAAAATGACATTTCATTAATTGCAAATGCCGCAATAAATGAGAAAGAATGCGAAGTGAAATTTCGAGTGCCAAAGAAAATACCGCTTCCTGAGGTCAATAATTTAACATTTAAATGATTTGTTAGCTCTCTTCTATTTATTCTTATATACTGCTATTTGCTAAAAAAATCAAGCGAATGTTAAAATTGTGCCTGAAATGATTAGGAAGAAAGAAAAATTTGTTGAGAAATATAAGCAAAAACATTCTCATCAACGTTGTATGTAAATTTTTAAATTTAACATTTGATAAGGCGAAAAAATCAGTCTTATCTGTAATTGAACAATTCTAGCAATTCTCATAAATGGAGTTGAAATAATTGGAAGAGAAGGTCGATGGATTATGTCTATCAATTAGATTTTTTATCATTTAGTGATATCATAAAATATTGCCAAGTTGTTGTTTATATATTTTAATATATTTTAGTTTTGGCCGTGTTTAGAAAGCTTTTGAGCGGCTTTTTAATTTGGTATAGATGCTGGCTTATCACCACCAAACAATAGATAGCCAAGTTGATTAAATGTGTTTACATATTATTTATTCATTTTCGAATGCATTTTAGGATTATAACAAATTGGTAAAAAGCAAAAAATTGCCTCAATTTCTTGCTGAAAATTCACAAAATCAATCATCAGAAGAGCAGAAAAAATTGCCTGAAAGGGATTCAAAAGAAAAAAGCATCAAGCAGTTAAAAAATGAAAAAGTTAGAAGCAAAAGTGCAAAAGATAAAAATGGAAAAAGCAATGAGCGAAGGGAAAAACATGGTAAAAGAATGAAAAGCTCCGAGGAATCAAATCAAAGATCAAAAGAACGAAGTGTAAAAAGTGAAAAAGATTCAAAAAGTGTGCAGAAGGAGAATTCATCAGGAATTAATAAACATGAAGAAGGCATTGAAATTAAACAAAAAGGTTGAAAAAAAATGCTCAAAATATCAACATATTTATCTTAGTTAAAATTTAAGTGAAACGACATTTTATGGTTAAAATCATAATAAAATTTCATTGCAATTACATTCATCCATTTATTATGATCTTTTGGAATGAGAAAAATTGCAGTTTCTTGCAATTTAATATGCTGAAATTATCATTCAGATGAAGGCATTTCACGATTGAAAATGCAAGAAAGTGATGGCGTTGGCAATCAAAAAGAAACCGGCGATTGATTGTAATGATACAGTGATTTGCAGTAAAGTTTAAATTAAAATAACAGTTTGACTAATATGAAATATTGTAAAATTAGTACTCTCAATATGTAGAAAAATATGAAAATTTGAAACTTCGGTAACTTTGGCTTTTTTTGCGAATTCTCAATTATTCAAATGACTCTGATGCAAGAAATCACCAAATTCATCACTTCCTCTCTTTCTTCTTATGAAAAATCTTCTGTCCATTAGAATATCATACAATAATATCAAGAATATCTACTCGTTTGAAACATTTCTTGAAGATATCATAAATAAACCGAAAAAATTTACAAGAGGAAATCATCTTCTTGCATTTCAATCAATTCCAATGATTGCTGCTCACCGGAATAACGATGTGCTGCAGCATCAGTGAGCTGTACTGCATTCGTTGATTTCATTGAATTTTTCGTTGGGTATTCCATTTCTTTCTCAATATATTGCTGAAAAAGAAACTGCATAAATTTTATCTGATAAATTTTTACTCGTATATGCAATTAATATAGCAAGAGACGAAATTAATTTGACTAAAAATTTATGATATCAATCTTGCGTTTCTCTTTTCCTGTCAAAATGCCGCAGCGCATTTTGATTAGGAATATGAATTTTGGTAATTAATAGCTTTTTGAAAATTAAAAAAATTGAAATAGCGCATACATCTGTTGTTGAATGGCGCCTATTTTTGGAATGTAATTTGGTCATACTTTGGTATGTGAAATTTGGAAGAAATTGAATACAAAAACGCAGAATCTTTAAAATCCCAAAGGTTGTTGTTGGTTCGCTGCAACAAAATTCTCGTTTTTTTTTTACTTATTATATTTTGATTTTAATTTACTTTTAGTAAGAATGACGAAATGCGATTTAGAAAGTAATAAAATTCAATCTAAACTTTACCCTAATCAATTATCAAATCAGTGATTTAATTTCATTAAAGATTATATATGGAATGATTACGTCGAATAATGCTCGGTGACATGCGATGATTCGGTAAGAGTGAATTTCCTACGCTTCTGATGCCAATGCATTTGAGCACGAGCCATTTTAATGCGCCGATTCAAAAGTGTAAATATTACCGGATATGCGGAACAACTTATATACGGTAACAAATGAATGTAGTATGATGCTATTACAACTATAAAAAATAACTATAAGAAATTTGTTGCAAAATAAATTTTTTTTTTTGAGATTTATTAAATTTGCGTTGGATGAAGATTTGAATTTTGAAGGTATTATAATTGACAGAATTGTCATATATTTGGTGGACAACTGTTTAAATTAATCTATTAATATAGAGTCTAATTTAGTCAAGACTTTTTGGTCTTAAAATTGGTTAAACTGATGAACCAGGCAATAGCATTTGAACTGATTTAAAATTCATATTATTTTACGAGAAGATCGATTGAGAATTTAAAAGATCATACAATTAAAACAGATTTAATTCTAACTCCAAAGATACATATGATGAATTTAATTAGAATTATAAATGAAAAAAATGTTCTTCTTTTGGAGAGACGATTGCCATACACATACATATTTTTCTTTCAAAAATTTTTTCTTAAATTTCTTGCATCTTAAAATTCGACAATTACGTGCAAAATGTTCCGATAAAACTTTGTGCAAATACAAAATATTTATAATTTGCTAAAAATTTTTACAGCTCTTTTAAAAGTCAAATTAAAAAAATTCTTAATTTATCATTCTATCTATGCATTGCATCACAAAAAAAGACATAACGATGCCAGTAAAATTACCGAAATTTGCATGCTTCCGAATTTTTTGTTAAACTTAAGAAGATAGAATGATGAAGATGACTACATTAACTGACCAGTTCGACTCATCCTACTTATAAATTTGTGCGCAAAAATACTTAGCCAATAAGGTGACCAACAGGATATATAAACTGCTGTAAGCACTAATACCGTTGCTATAAGTCGACGTAATGGAGCGGCATTGCAACTAAAAAAATAAATTAGAAACAAGTTTTTTTTTTTATAACTAAATATTTCTGAATATACATTTAGGCAATTTTTGCCAAAAATAAACCCTTTTACGCTTTTTGTCTTACTAATTTTATTTTTTCATTTTTTTGCCTATCAATTTACAAAGATCAAAAATTGTCGCTTTAGGACAAATGGAACAGAAAAGAAAAGGCATCGTAAACATCTTCTCGTATTTTAATTATCAAAGTGCCACTCATTCTAATATAAACAAGCGAGAAAAAACTTTTCCTACTTTAACTAGCACGAAGCAAATGCATAATGTATTTTAGAAATTGAAAAACAAAAAACAATCTGCTAAATCTGGAAATTTTGAGATTGTATTTTAAAAAAATAAGAAATGTACTTGCTAGAAGCTAGTGAATTACCGGCATGCCGCTTCAAGAAGAATGGCACTGAAACATACCAATAGATCATACCGCCTAACGGTATAGCATAGCTAGCAATGCACGATACAATACCAAAGCCGAGTTCAATCTCTGCAAATATCATCTGAATTTATTAAGGCCTTAAGATTATAAGCCTATGTTTTATATTGTGCTAAAAATTATGAAGTCTAAAATAAAGTCGTTGAAATTTGTTTAAATAAAAAAAAGACCTAACCGGATGGTGGCATGAAAGTACATTTCCTTAGTACATTGACAGTTCTTTGGGTAATATTAGCATTGAAATAAAGCGTTGATACTTGGCTATATACAAAAAGAGGCCATAACATTATCATTACAAGCGCCATCGATGCAATTACTTGTGCTATTGCATACTGTAATAAAATTTCATTTGTTTAATTAGTAATTAAAATTACTTGTGCTATTGCATACTATAGTAAAATTTCATTTGTTTAATTAATAATTAGTTTTCTAATTATTTATTTTTTTCGTTTAACAAGTATATTGTTCAAATTATTTCATATTTGCCAGTTTTCCTTTATTTAACTTTTTGCTTGTTTTTAGCAAATGCACTTTTCATTCTTCTCATTCATTTCGAAACCAATTATTTATTTTATTTCAAATTTGTTGTGATAATTACATTACATTCATATCTCTCATTTATTAACAGTTAATTGGTTATTTTCCTAATACAAATTTAATATTAATTGGGATTCAGTGTATGTATAATTCATGAGAATTCATTCATTAATTTATAAAAGACATACTAATAGTCAAAACTGAAATAGACGAATGAAAATAAAAAAATGAATTAAATAATAAATGGAAATTTTTTTTTTTCAAGCTTTTAAGAGCTATTGCGAATTATTTCTGACTCGAATTATTTTTAGGCATTTTATCATAAAAACAATAAAGTCAATACTGCACGTATTTCCATTTATTATTTAATTTATTTTATTTTCATAGCTCTTAAATAAAATGTTTTTGTTAAATAGCAAAATTTGAGTGGAAGAAAATTTTTTCAAGAGTTATTAAAAAAAAAAACCTTGTATGTATATGTATGTGTGATGTATGTGTCAAACATTATCAAAAGTTAAAGATTTTTGATGAAATTTTAATAAATTGTAGATTTAATTTTTTTGGCGAATATTCGGTCATCAAACTTTCTATTTTACTTCATATAATAATTAAACTTGGTAAATGAAAAGTAAGACTTTCAAACTAGCAGCTATTCGTCGACTTTTTGGATCGAGACATATCGTTACGTAACATGTTCGACTGATCAATACCACAATTACCGGTGCAACAAACTTATTCATTGCTTCAAAGACAAGATATGCCACACACGAGAATGTGCTGAATTTCCAAGTACCAATAACTATGTCGATTATTAGAAAAAGCATTCCTACAATATTTTTCTATTTATTTTGCAACTATAATATACCAACTGTGCCAGAGAGATACCTTTTGGTACTTTTCAATTAATACTTATTAGTAAAGTAATTTCAATACTTTTGGTATTGAAAGTATTTTACTAACAAGAGTATTAATAGATATTATTTGACAAATATTTATTTCTTATTATATTTTCATTAAATTAAAATGACGCAGTGCACTTGTTCTTATGTACAATGATGAGTTAACTATTTAACCTTTGCTATCAATGTATAATAATAAGCTAACTATTTAACCGTTATTATAATGATATCATTCAGAAACCTACCAATCATAATCATCAAATCGGAAATGCATAGTGTTATAATATAAAATAAAATACTTTTTGGTACTTTAACAGTAGCCGAAAAAAGTAACGGTGCAACGGTATATAACACCCAAAAATTTGCAGCAAATCCAACGGCATTAACACCAATATAAGCAAATGCAACGCATCGTCGATAACCCTTTAAAATTAAAAATAGTCTTTGCAATTTCTGAATTACTTTTATTTATGCAAAAAAAGTTGAACTTTGTAAATTAAGTTTCATCATGCATGTAAATGAAAATGGCTGTATAGAATATACTTTCTATCATATTCGTAATAATTACGTAATAATGTTATTCGTAATAACATTATTACTGTTATCTTTATCACTTAGTTGATTTGTCACGATAGGAGCGGGGCAATTAATTCAGTCAGACAGATTTCATATATCTATCTTTGAGTCAATTTGAAAAAAAGAGCAATTAAAGATAGACACTACAAAAAAGCTGAATTAAGTTGGAAACCATGTTGTATATGATTTCTGACTTGATTTAGCCTTTTTAAAACAATGTTTTGAATTTCAAATCACACTGTAAGTCTATCAAATGAGTAAGAACGAATGAAATAGATTTAAATAACCTGAAATGGTATCGAATATTCCAGTTGTTTATAATTAGCAAATTCATCTTCGCTCTGAATTATAATTGCCATAATTTTTGTTCACATCGTTTCAAAACAAAGAGCCATTGTGAAGCACTGGAAATTATAAAATCGCTCGAGCACAAAAATTTTAATTTTATTAAATCGATTACAGTTGATAAGAAAACAATACGTATTGCATGAAAATGCAATCATATCTTGTCAAATTACGTGAATATAAAATTCTGACTTTTAAAATGAAAAAGAAAGAAAGTTGTGTTAAGACTTTGTTTTCTCGAAATCATTATTTGAAGAGCGAAAATTAAAGATGGAAAAGATTGCATAATAATGTTAAAATATAATCTTTTTTTCATCCTTGTCAATTTCCATTATTTTATACCTTTTATTGCAAAACTTATTTAGCTTTCTGAGAATGAGGAAGGATGAATGCAATGAAACAGAAATTTTATCGCTAAATTTTTGATTGGATGTTGAAATTATTAAAAAAAAGAAAATCGAGTTATTATAGATTGGATTTTTTTTTTTTGAACTAAAAGAACATTTATATTAGCAGTGAAAAATTTTCTCATCCTTTAAAATTAAAGCAAAGAATGGAAAAGAAATAAGTTGTATGCAATTTTGTAAGAGTTCTTTCTAGAAAAAAAATATATGCAAACAGTTCGTCACATATTTCTTTCAAAAATAATTGTGAAACATTTTTTTCAGATAAGTCTATTTTTGAGATACGTCTAAATGATAAAGGAGAGAGAGAGAGAGAGAGAGTTGTGAATCTAATTTTGGAATTATGTATTTAATTCTGAGTTCTAATTAATTAAGACTGGCTCAGCATCATCTTCTTAAATTGCTTGTTTAAAAATTTTCAAAATACTTCTTTGACTTACCTCGACATTGCCCAATTTTTTAAGGCTTGAAATTTCTCTCTAAAAAATTGATAATTTCCTCAAACAATACATCATTGAGTGAAGTTACCAAAAAAAAAAAAAAAATTCAGGCAATATTCCACCACTGATTTGATGAACCAAAACAAACTACAGGCCTTATGATTAATCAGTTATATTAAAGACAAAAATATTATTCGGCCCATTTTATGCCTTCAAAGTGGTACCTTGAGAAAAACAATTAATTAATAATAAATTTTTTACCTTTTCAAATTCAAAAACATTTGAAAATTATAAAGCTAATAATTTTAATACGACTGCAGACTGCAAACGAGCCACATAGTACTAATTTTGAATGCATTAGCTAATAAACTTCATCAAAATTACATCAATAAAGAATGATGATTGCATTTGCTTGCATTTTTATTCATTATAATTAATTTCCAGCATGTCATCTCTCTTTTTTTTGAGCAAATGTAAATAATTTAAATGGAAAGAAATCAGCTATTTAAACTGTAATCATTTGTCGCTTATAAAAAAGCCTCTAATTGAAATGACGATCAAAAGCAATTTAAGAATAACATCTGCACTCTCCTAAAAATAGCATTAAAATTAGCATTTTGATAAAGTTATTTTATTTTTTATCATGGTTCATTTTTTGTTTCGAAAAAATTGCCGAAAACAAAAATTATGGTATATCAGCATTCTATAATGTATATTCAGTGATTTTTATTAAAAATTATTGATATCTTGAAAGAAGTATCACTGAGTTATCAATGAGATGTTGAGAGTTATATTGATTTTCATAAATTAAAAATAATATCACTCAGACTAATAATATTGTCTATACAATTCATTTCAGGAAGATTTTGATGGAGTTATTTTAGCAGGTGATTATGGAAGAAGCAAACAATTGAAATGCGGTATGATGATGATATTTAAGTTTAATTGAATAAAATGATAAATAATTTTCATTTTTCTTAAAAGATAGAATAATCTAAAATGGAATTGAAACATGCCTAACGCATTAATAAATTCTATTTCATTATTTTTGATTTCAAGATACTTTGAATAAATAAGATTTTTATTTGAAGCTTCATGAATTGATGTTCTTCTTCAAAATCGAAATCAAATCGAACACTTTCTATATCTCAGCAAAAATTCCGTCAATTGATACGAATTCGGTATTGCAGAACAAAAATTTATAAAACATATAAAATATATAATTACAAGAATTCATCTTTTGTTCATGTAAAAGAACTGAAAACTTTGAGAAATTAATTTTCTTATGACTAATAACATTTCTATCCTTAAAATCTCACAAATATTTTTACACAATAATTATAAATATCATTAATGAGCAAATTTTTCAGAATGAATCAAATTGACAATAGCGCTTCATCTTGAGAATCATTGTGAATAGTAAATGTACTGTGTGTTATGGAAAATCTCTTGGCTAGTTTTTTTGGCGAAGCAATTTGTTCATTTCAATAGGCTTAGTCTGAGATTAATTTCATTAATTAGTTTCAGGCTATAATAAGCTAACTTTTGCTATATCTTAATTATGTAATCGATTTTCCATCACTTCTCATTCACTTGATATTGCAACCATTTCAAAATGCCTGCGCGAGTCGCTTCAAATAGCCTATAAAAAAAGAAACCGGATTTTCAAACATATTTTGTCTTAAGATTGGACTATTTCTTTATGTTCAAATGAAAATCAAAAAGATTTTAACGAAGGATGGATACAATTCAAGTTAAAATTAATTAGACTAAACTGCAATTACAGAGAAAAAAATTCCAAAAATCAATGAATCAATTCCTTCCCATCGTCTTATTTCATCAGCTCTATAATTTTTCATGATAACTTATTCATTAAATAAATTTAATATGATTTTATAATAAATTCACAATGTTCGAAAACTATTTCATTAAACTATTTTTAACCATTATTTATTTTTTCTTACTGGAAATTTCATTTCGAGTAAAATAAGTACCAATTGGCGCTAATTTATACAAAAATATCGAAACAGAAAAAAACAATAAAATGTCGCAACAAAAAAAAACAATGAAAAATGAAAAAAAAACAATAAAAACAATGAAATACTATTACTTAAATAATTGTGAAAACCTTTTTCATTTTCTTTGGCTTTTTCGAAATAAAAATTCCAACATTCTCAATTAAAATGAAAAAGAAAAAAGAAAGTTCCATTTCGAGATTAAATGACAGCTTTTGTACGACTTATGCATATCTCAACTTCTGTTATTGTTTAATTTCATCATCAATCAAACTTTTAATCAAACTTAACAATTTTCAGCTTTTACTTTTATTTACAAAACGAAAAAGTTAAGACTGATTTGTGAAGATGCTTAGAAGAGCTCATCAATCAATATATCAAAAGTGTGCCGCAACAAAATGTCTGTCGCGTATATATCATTGAGACAAAGCATTGTTAACATATTCATTTCAATGATAAAGATTTATTGCTTTTTTAACACGCATTATTTTAGGCTGTTTGAAAAATTTTTTCTCATTTTAATGCAAAAGTTTGAGAGTATTGAAAATCTATCGTAAGGTAACTGTCATTAAAATAAAAATGCTTTTTCATTTGGGAGAGAGAGAAAGTGAGAAAGGAAGAGGGAGCGAAGAGATGGAAAGAAAGAAAGTTCAAATTTATTTATATTCTCTTTA